TGTTATTGCCGTAAGTGCTCATGGAAAGGAAGCAGACGACAAATGGCTGAATATAGCACGTGATCATCCCACAAATTAGGTGGTGAAATATGGTGTAGATACGATGTAGTTGTTTAGCAGTGTCCGTCTTTACAATGAGCAATGGACTAGGGACAACTTCGCCATTCCAAACTGTACGTAATAATATGGCCTTCCCCTGTATTTCAGCGCTAGTTCTATAGGCATCAGACCGGACTAGTACAAGCACACACACACACACACACACACACACACACACACACACACACACACACACACACACACACACAATCTTAAACGTGACGTTAAACCCCATTTACCCTGACTTAACTTCACCTTATGGTGATTAAACCGTCTCCGTGGTCTAGTGGTAGAACGTCCGCCCGGAGAGCGGAAGGTCCGGGGTTCGATCTCCGGCCGCGTCATACCAAAAGACGTTAAAAGATGGTACTTGTTGTTACCCTGTCTGGCGCTCGGCATTAAGGGGCTGAAACAAGGACTGGTTGGCTCGGAGTCAGTATACTGTCTCTGAGTGGGGTATTAACGTTAAACTGCGGCATGATATCTAAGTAGGCTAGCACTACAAATCGGCATCAGTCCGGACTAGTACAAGCAGCCACACACACACGTGCATGCACGTCGCTATATAAGTGCAATAATCTTGGACGCGACGTTAAACCTCATTTGACCTTACCTTTGGTGAGCAGCAGATTTTAAGGGCGCCTCATTGAATGCTCACCAACAATTCCTTGTACAACAGAAGATATTTTGCTCAATTGAGAACTGGTGGAGCGGGGTAAACAATAGATATACAAAAGAAAATGTTCGCAAAGAAGACAGAATATGCACATTTTGTAATTAAACATGATCGAAGATGGATTTCATGTTGGTTGGTTTGGTTGGTTGGTTTGTTGTTTAACGCCGCACTCAGCAATATTCCAGCTATATGACGGCTGTAGGTAAATAATCGAGTTAGAACCAGACAATCCAGTGATTGATATCATGAGCATCGATCCTCGCAATGTGGGATCGATGACATGCATCAACCAAGTCTGCGAGCCTGACCACCCGATCCCGTTAGTCGCCTTTTACGGCAAGCATAGTCGCGTTTTACGGCAAGCATGGGTTGCTGAAGACCTATTCTACCCTGGAATCTTCACGGGATTTCATGTCATATTAAAATGTTCATCATATAATTATATAAGATAAGATTATATACGAAATAGATATATTGCTAAGTGTAGATTCAATTCATTTCGGGGCGGTGGGGTTGCCTGGAGTAAAGCTTCAAACGTTCGCTCGTCACGCCGAAGACCCGGGTCCGATTCCCCACATGGGTACAATGTGTGAAGCACACTTCTGGGCTACCCCGCCGTGATATTGCTGAATTATTGCTAAAAGCGGCGTAAAACCAAACTCAATCAATCACTCAATTCATTTCGTATTTTAATGAAAGCCGAACCTCAGTTGTTGTTCACCTCATGAAGTTCTGAAAACTAGCATTATTATTAAGAAATCACTTGTTTAACAATGCCTTTTCAATGTTGTTTTATGATATGTACATCTATCGCCCATTGCGAATTGTAAATTATGTACATCTGTATGTAGGCCAATGGCCTTGAAAACGATAAACAGAATTGAATTGAATTGATTTCACATTTCCATAAACTTTATGTAATGCATACGAAACGATACATATCAATTCCTTTATCCTGTATCACTTTCTTTCGCGCGGCAGTTTATTGCACACATGAAATGCATTTCTGGGTTCCGGTCTTTTCTTCCCTAATAAGTAAACCGAGTGTTCATGAGATTTTAGTAATTTTATAACCGTATCATGCATGCTCTATGTTACTTCACATAATTAATGGAAATAACACACAAATCTGGATGGGAAATTAGCCCGACACACAATTCAAACTTTACGTTTGGCAAAGATCTGGGCCAACTTGCACAAAGCGATCTTAGTGCTAAGATGATTGTAACTCCCATACTTTAACATAGGTTTACGATAGTCTTAGCGCTAAGATCGCTTTGTGCAAGTGGGCCCTGATGGCGCTGCAGGAACAGGGGTGGCATGTCGTGCAGCCTAACCCGGGTATATCCTGTTGGCGAAAAACCGAGTGGAACTAAATAGATTTTTTCTCTGTGATATCATTAGCCTTTTAAAAAAAAAAAAAATCCAGATTTTATTTACAACAGCATACACTTACGACGGACACCGTGAATATCCAGGTTATAATTGTCCTTTTGCAATCCATGCTTGTCGTAAGAGGCGACTAACGGGATCGGGTGGTCAGGCTCGCTGACTTGGTTGATGCATGTCATCGTATCCCAATTGCGTAGATCGATGCTCATAATGTCAGTCACTGGTTTGCTGATCCAGATTCGATTATTTACAGACCGCCGTCATATAGCTGGAATATTGCTGATAGCGTTAAACACCAAATAAACAAACTTACAAAACACAAAAGGCGTTTTATGTCTATTGGAAATATGTATTTTTGTTGTAAGTTCGGAGAAGCACCCGTAAAATATAGTGTGCTTCATGACATGAGGTGTGACTTCAAGTTTCCAATCGTCAACCCTCCCTCTGTGTCGAACAATATTCCTGCTGCTCGAGCCTTTGATGAATACATTCCACATTTCTTTATGCAATCGAGCTCGTTCTTTCTACCAAGATTATTATGAGCGTCAGACGACTAGGTGTTTGATAAAGGTTTCAACTTTCCTCAGTACATGCAAGGCCTCTGTAAATCTTTCAAAAAGTTGTATGGTAGACAGGGACATTTCCAAATTTGACTTACGATGTATGATTCAATTCCCTAATTTGTATTATATATGGTTTTACAGGTGAACAATTGACTTGCCTTTTTATGTGTTTGTGACCATTGTCGCCGATGGGGCAGGATATGCTAACCTTCACGCATTTCTGATTTATTCATTAACACATGCTCATGATATAGTCGGAATCGTACACTCGGCTCTGCTTTTGGCACAGATTTATAATGAACGCGGAAAGGGCTTTATTTCAAGTTCGGGGTCTATACATTGTTCGCGAAGATAGCAACGGAAATACTGCCACACTCGAACGTTCCCATCTACATCTGCCTTCAAGATCAAAGTGAGCGTGATCGACCAGACGTATAGATACTTCAGTGGGAATTGAAAGCCAAGTTCTTTGATCGTACCCAAACAGTTTACAAGTTTGTGCCGGGTCCTCCGTTATCCCGCCTCGACGCCGTATTTGTGGATGTAAGTGGTTTGTTGAAATCAATCCAACATATCAGGTTTCAATACATCTAGTATGTCTATCTCTGTTGGTGAGAAAGTAGCGGCCTGCTGGAATGGATCATCTATCCCCAGTGACAGTCGACGGAAGAAATGACACCAAGTGATTCGCTATTGCAATGCACAAAAGATCTCCGTGAGGTATTGACTGATCTTCACCGAAAATCACAGACGAACACAGCTCCCTGGAGAGAACGGTGCATCGGTTGAATCGTTTGGACGATGTAATGAAAGAGTGTTTTAAATACATTTTTAACGGCTGTGAAATTTAATAATTATTATATGAAGTATCTAGGCATTCAATTTTAAAATTAATAGGCTGTATAAATTCAGTGACATTTTTTCGCTCAAGTATTCTTTCAAATGTTATCTTTTTCATATAATACATATCGCTCCTCCACTTGAGCAAGAGTAGTATGAACTCTTTGAACCCCTCGTGGAAAGAACATGTTCGATTGTACTTCACAAGCTGGGAAATGTAGTCCCTAAAGGCTGGAGCTGCAGGGGTATTGCTCAACGTAATGGGAAATTTGCCTATTGGAAAGTTGAAGTTAACCCTCTTGTCATAACGTCTTGTGATGTTTTGTTACTCTGAATATTTATGCATTGATGAAATTATGAAAACTGATAGAAAAAAATACTTTATAAGTTATCAGAAGTGTTTCTATGAATGGATTTGTGGAGGACATTTCCAAATGTGACGCATCAGTGACAAACATGATGTCGGATGCAATTCCCTATTTTGGCTTGTACCATATGTTCCCGTGTTTTTTCAGGTGAACATTTGACTTTCCTTTGCATGTGTTTGTGACGAGTGACACCGGTGGGGCAGGATACGCTCTCCTTTTCGCAAGCACCTGGTATCATCACTATTTGATAGTGATTAAAAAACCGATGCTCGTGATATCGGAATCGTACACTAGACTCTGATTTTGACAGATTTCTTAGGAATATCGAAAGGTTTTATCGCTTTTTTTTTATTTCAGTCATGTCTGGCTGTTAGTCAACACAACACCGAATTATACCACTATGATGTGTCAGAGGGGATCTTTTCGCTTTCTGGAATCGTTATTTTAATACTTGAACATAAGCAAGCATTTGCCCAAAGCTGACTTTAGACAGATAGGCTTAAAATATCTATTCTTGGTCTCCACCACCACTACTACTTTCAATATATACCTTCTATCTTTGAGTGAGTGAGTTTATGCTTTACGTCACATCGGCAATATTTCAACCATATCGTGACGATCTATCTTTTAAATTCCACGCCTGCCGATGTGCTCCTAGTACACAAGGACCAAAGTCTAAGATACTCTTAGATGTCAAGTTTGCACCCTGTCACCCCCGTCCACAACAAACAAACAAAGCTGGTTGATCTAGAAAACGACCTTTCTCGCTCCTATCACCTATAACACTTTTGAACATGTATTTCATAAGACCGATTAACTTGCACGTGAGAAAAGAAATAGTCTAGTCATCAGCCATAATCGTGTCAAATGCTTTTATAACAATATCAATAGGTGTTCAAGTTTCAAGTTTAGCCTTTTTCACGGGCAAACCTATCTTAAATCTGGTCCACGCCTTGTATTCACCAATCCTCTCCACATATGGCGGTGCGTACTGCGTGTCTTACAGGACAAGGCTTATCTCTCTGCGTCACCCGTGCCAAAATACCTATTTATACTCTATTTGTACACGAACTCTACCTTTATTGGGAAAGTGCTTCGATCAAAATGTTGTTCAAAATATTGTGTTTAGTAGCAGCATTCCATGGCGCTTTTTCAGCCGACAGCAGAAACATAGTACAGTACCTGGCCGCCAATCCAGAGTACTCCACGCTGGTCGGTCTGGTTAAAGATGCAGGTCTCGTTGCTTCCCTCTCCGCTCCTGGTGAGTTAACTGATGGGGTTACTCAATCTCAGTCTTTGCCTTCATTGATGGATTTCCGTCCACTCTACCTATAACAGCACCGATATATGTCAATGCATATGGTATTATCAGCTGAAACCAGAATGCTCACGCCACACGAGCCTATTAGAGAATTTCAATTATTTTGTAATGTAGATTTCATAGCATTTGCGAATACAGTAAACTACGGTTATAACGAACTCAAAGGGACCACAAATTCTAGTTCGTCATAACCGTAGTTCGTTATAAACATATATACAGCATATATACAGCAAAAGTCCGGGACCAAAAAAACAGTTCGTTATATCAGCCAGTTCGTTATGAGCGTGTTCGTGATAAACGTAGTTTACTGTACGATTATTTTTGAAAGAACAATCACGTTACGATTACTGGTAACGGAGCATACATTTATTGGATATGTATATATAGAAATATGAAAATTATTGGTTCTAAAATGTATACATGGGCATATTTTCTGTTTAACTGTCAACTGTGTTATTTTAAAAACAGCTAAAGATTTTTTCTTTAACATATATTGTTAATCAAGCTCACAAGTCGGAGGTGAAGATATTTACTTTAACTTGTTTAAATAATGCCAGCGTGCACTTAGGAAGCACACGCAGTACAAGACCTATCACAGTGTGCGGTTCATGCATCTACTTGTAGCATAAGACACAGTAAGGCTGTCCATTGTACGATGAGCATGCGGTCCTGGAACACACAAGATACCAGCTGATAATGTTAGCGTTAAACATTAAGACCAGCGTTAAGTCCCACCGTGAAGATCCGGGGTAGAATAGGTCTTCAGCAACCCATGCTTGCCGTAAAAAGTGACTATGCTTGTCGTAAGAGGCGACTGACGGGATCGGGTGGTCAGGATCACTAACATGGTTGATGCACGTCATCGTATCCCAATTGCGTGGATCGATGCTCATGATGTCAATCGCTTGATTGTCTGGTCCAGACTCGATTATTTACAGACCGCCGTCATATAGCTGGAATATTGCTGAGTGCGGCGTTAAACAACAAACAAACAAAACACAAATTCCACATGTATCAGCAGCCAATTCAAGGGGCAAAGATGAAGCAAGCAGGATCCCAGGTCCCAGGCATCATCGGCATCTTTTGGATTCATGATTCACAGTATTTGACTATTGAATAATGTACCCATCCAAGGTATCTTACCTTTTCAAGGGGGCCCCAATGTACGGTCTGGATTTAGACGTAATAAATTACGTGTGTTAGCATTTGACGTTGTCTCAGTGAAATCTGGGTGCTCTTCCGCTGCTAAATTTGTACACATCATACGCTAGCTCGTATTAAACAAACACACGTTGTACTGAAACAGTGTGAAAGTATGCATGTTCCTTCCATAAAACAGTGCCACCCCTTGATCAGGACGGCACTGTTCCTAATGCAAGTTTCTGGATTAGCTCGTCATCGTATTACATGAAAAATATGTACAAGAATGGGGGAATGAAACAGAAAATACCCCGAAATATACAACGTACTTGTACTTTAAATTTGATTCATAAAAAATCATGGACTTCCAGTTGAAAAAGGCAGTCGGAACAAAACACCATTAAGTGAGTGAGTGAGTTGGGTTTAACGCCGCTTTTAACATTATTCCAGTTACATCACGGCGTGTCAGCTTAATGTGGGAGGAAAGCCCGAAGTGATGCAGGTCTCAGACGTTAAGCACTTCGGTGAAACCCACGAGCACGGGTATGGTGCTGACAAACCTAGCAACATAATCGGGGCGAAGCGGGATTCGAACCCACAATCATAGGTTTCTGGCGTGCCCAAGGGACGCAACTCTGCACAGCGAATCGCGGCGCCTTAGACGACTGCGCCACCCGTGCCCCCAACACCATTAAGAAATAGATTACGTCCATTATGTGATGCGAGAGACATCGATGATGAGTTTCATTATCCATAATCCGTCCATTTTTTAAAAATCAGAGAAATATTTGTTCCCCATTATATCACCGTAAATATCCTCACAATCGGAATTTTTCCAAAATATTTATTTTATTTAAAAAAATCACTTCAACGATTATTGTCCTGTCTCATAAGCCAGTAATGGCTGCAAAGTGGTTTTATAGTGTATTTTATGTATTGGTTTCTTTTGAATGTGCACTTTGTGGCACGTTGATAAACTATGTCTTATCTTATCTTCATGTACAGTCCTCCCTGGCCATAATGCCCCTGGTTATAATGCCATGTATTTTCTCAGAACGGATTTATGAAGTGAGGATTCCCTGGTTATGATGCCAATACCAATGTTTTTCATTTCCATTTCCCTGCTTATAATGCCATTTAAAAAAAATCTTTTTACGTAAAATTAGCACTGTAGTAAATCTGTTGGAGATAATTCCTTCTTCTAAATCAACAAACTAAATTTACTGATTTCAGTTGTTTTCACAGCTAATCCTCACCCAAAGAATCATTAACTTTGTCAAGATAAGAAACAAATTAATATTTGGATAAGATGTGATGTTCTTTGGAATATATTTGTTTCTTGATTCAAGATAAAGTTTACAAACAAGCTTAATAACACTAAGAGTACAAACTATATGTACAGATGGCGTTAGACCTTCAAAAATACTCCTTTATAGATCTTTAGAACATAATAACCAGCTCGTACTTGAGAAAGCGAGATCTAATGGTGTTGAATTGTGAAGTATCTACATGTTTCTGTGCTAGATTTTTTTGATAAGTGCATCATTTTACATTACAACAAATCTTAGTCATTGTCATTTCAATTACATAATTAATTTGAAAGGTTCTTTGACCGTGTTGGCCCCGACCAATGACGCATTCAAGGCGCTTCCAGCAAGTACCCTCAGCGCTCTCCAGAAAGATAAGAACCAGTTGAAGACTGTGCTCCTCTATCACGTGATCAACAAGGCTCTTATCAGCTTTCTTATCACTGATGGAGAGGTCGAGACCACACTGGCCAATCAGAATGTGACCTTCTCAAAAACCGTGAGTCTTTAAAGTGTAACATTTCTGAACTATGTCTCAAAAGAAAATGCATATTGTTATAACGCACAAATGCTCTATACATGAAACATGACTTTATTCACAGAATTAACCTGTCAATGTAATCAAGTAAAGTGTACAAAGCTAATGTGTAAGAAAATCATTCGACCTAAATATCAGCTGATTAGTATTCTGGTGTGATCAATGTGGTACGCAGGTAATATGTATAGGTGTGTAGCAAGCTTGCTACTGTTATTAATGTCAGTAGGTTCGGGAATATGATATCCCCCCCCCCCCCCCCCCCCCCCACACACACACACACACACAATCCACGACCCTAGAATATCAGGGGCAGACCATTTGATATTCTTGGGGAGGCGCTGGGATTTTATCGAAAATAATCTAATTTTCCTCAAACATGCTGTTGAAAAAAAGAAGAAGTTGTGTACCATTAAGATTATATTGTTGCAATGTAATTTTTTCAAACAAATATTTAAGCTCATAGTTTTAATAAACATATCTGATTTGCAGCTGCAGCTAAAATAAATATCTCGTCTCCATAAAAAATCCCAGGCCCCCACCAGAATATCAAAGGGTGGGTCCCCATACTTGATAATGTTGTCATTAGGTTAACATAATTGTTTTAAAGAAAAAATATCATTGGTAAAATCATGATTTTATCGTTTGCAGGGAACCGCTCTCAAGGTCAACAATGCCCCTATCTCCAACTCTGACCTGATCGTAAGCAATGGTGTCATCCACACCCTTGACGCCGTTCTCATTCCGAGCACTGAGAACATCCTGCAGTACATTGTCAAGCATGACGATATGTTCTCAGACCTCTTTGCAGCCCTCGTCGTTACAAACCTAGAGAGTGTTCTTGAAGGTAAATATATTTGTAGGACACAAATCTATGGCGGGTTTTTACTGTGGCTGGTCGTTCATGACGGAACTGTTCGACATGACACCACATATATACGGAACAAACATGTGGTTGAAAATACATTTCTACTAATCATTAACTGTTTTATAAATAGGCCGTTATGCTGTTACTGAAGTTGTCTGAAAATTGATTACATATTGACAGTAATCTCACGGAGATAGCGGAATATGCCATGTGGATCTGATTCACATCGTACACATATTACGTCATGTATACTGAAAAAAATGAACATGAATATTTTTTTACTATTTATTTGTGATAGTCTGACAGTCTTCATTTAAAGAAATACCCAACGAAACATGATCCCTAACTATCTTTGTTCAGTATACATGACGTAATATGTGTACGTCGTGCAATGAGTGCCGTGCAAACAAGTATGACACAAACACGTCTTTATTTCCGGGATTTTTTAACGAAGTATTTAAATTCACTATTACTTTTGCGCCAGGTGGCCAATTTACTGTTTTCGCACCAACTGATGATGCGTTTAAGAAGATCAGCTCTGCACTCCCCCCTGATGCTGCCTCCCTGGCATGTAAGTGATCATGCTGCACTTGATTATATTCATCAACATAATAATGGTATATCTGGTATATATTTGTTTATGAGGAAGCAGTGTCTTCCTCACTAAAGTCTCGTTGATATCAGCTTGATGGATAAAATAAAAAGCTTTTTTCACGAGCTGTTTCCTCAACTGAGGCGATGAAAAAAGAATTAATGATTTACTTGACCTTTTTATCCAGTTTTATGTTTTAATAATTGATAAAAAACATCAACTACTTGTGGTGTCGCATATCATGATGACGTAATAATTACATTACGTTTAACGTTCACTAAGCTGAAGCTTGTTGTGCTCATTACTTCACGTTTTTTTTTAGAAAAAAGCCTTAAAGTTTGTACACAACACTGTTTTTATACTTTATTGCACAAGGTAACAACGTTGTTCATCCGGAAAATAAACACGTGGATAGAGCACGTCGCTATATAAGTGCAATAATCTTAACCTTGACGTTAAACATTCCACTCCCCTACATGTATGGTTTCTCGTCACACCTGTGTGGATTAGCGAGGTTCTACGGTGTTATTCACTGTTTAAACAGCGGTTCTGAAGTACCACGTTGTGCCTGGGCTCCACCCGGCCGCCAGCCTGAAGGATGGGGATATGCTGAACACTCTGGCCGGGAAGGCTCTGAAGGTGGACCTGAGCAACGGTAAGCTGATCATGAACCTGGACCCACTTGCCCAAAGCGATCGTAGCGCAACGCTGATCGTAACGCCCCATCTTCACGAGGCAAGCGTATCCACAAGCCTGTATCAAAGCCATTGGAAACAAGACTTTGATAATAAGGCTAGTGGACGCTCTTGCCACGGGAAGATGGTAACTGCCACACCCCTCACATAAACATAAGATAACTTTGTGCGAGTGTCCTGGACAGGGATCAGGTGCACTTGGCACTTGTCAGCGACATAACGGCACTCACTTGGCCACCTGCTCGTCCTTATCCCTGATAAAATTGGAAAACTATGCGCATACCATTAACCATTATACCCTAGGCAAATGAGTGAGTGAGTTTGGTTTTACGCCGCTTTTAGCAATATTCCAGCAATATCACGGCGGGGGACACCAGAAATGGGCTTCACACATTGTACCTATGTCGGGAATCGAACCCGGATCTTCGGCGTGACGAGCGAATGCTTTAACCACTAGGCTACCCGACCGCCCCCCTAGGCAAATGATTATTGAACATGATTATAGTTACTATAGTTACGGAAACACACGGCTTATAATCTATATGCAGAAGAATAATCGCAGTGTCCTTGATCGTTGTGTAAATGATTATTCCAGGAGTGAAGATTGGGTCAGGGAAGGTCATCAGTGCCGACATCATGGCCATCAACGGCATTATCCACGTCATCGACACCGTCCAAGTACCGTAACGTACACGCCGTGCGCGGAAACTGAAGAGACTAATAAAACCATACTTCCTAAGATTCTTACAGTCGTTTCTTTGTACGTAAACACCACCCACAGTTGGGATGACGTCTTTCCGTGAAGTCGCCTCGAGTCACTTCACAATGTGAAGAGAGAGAGGAACGTGTTGCTTCTTCCCGAAAATCCGGGTTAGAATTAGTCTCCAGCAACCCAGCCTTTCGTGAGAGGCGACTAAAGGCATCAGGTGGTCAGTCTCACTGACTTAGATTATGTATATCATCGCATCCCAATTGCATAGATGGATGCTCATGATGTAAATCAATTGATTGTCTTGTACAGACTCGATTATATACAGACCACCGCCATATAGCTGGAGTGAGTGAGTATGGCTTGCGACGCTTTTAGCAATATTCCACAAATATCACGGCGGGGGACACCAGAAATGGGCTTCACACATTGTACCCATGTCGGGAATCGAACCCGGGTCTTCGGCGTGACGAGCGAACGCTTTAACCACTAGGCTACCCGACCGCCCAATACAGCTTGAATATTGCTGAGTGCGGCTGTAAACACAAGCAAACAAAACATGTTACTGCTTCAATGTGGTAGTATAACTGCCATAACGTCGATGAAATGGTGAGGTGAGGTGAGGTGAAATGGGGTTTAACGTCGCGTCCAAGATTATTGCACTTATATAGCGACGTGCATGTACGCCTGTGTGTGTGTGTGTGTGTGTGTGTGTGTGTGTGTGTGTGTGTGTGTGTGTGTGTGTGTGTGGCTGCTTGTACTAGTCCGGACTAATGCCGATTTATAGTTCTAGCTCACTGAGATACCATGCCGCAGTTTAACATGAATACCCCACTCAGACACAGTATACTGACTCCGAGTCGACCAGTCCTTGTTTTAGCCCCTTAATGCCGAGCACCAGACAGGGTAACAACAAGTACCATCTTTTAACGTCATTTGGTATGACGCAGCTGGGGATCGAACCCCGGACCCTCCGCTCTCCGGGCGGACGCTCTACCAATGGATCACGGAGGCGGTCTTCGATGAAATGGGCAATGTAAACCTTAATTAGAGTTGTCATAATTTGTTACGGAATGTGGATATCCGATTGGATATCCGTGGTGGCACGTGGTCCTGTGCACAGTGCACAGATCACAAATCAGGGGAAGTTAAGCAACGTCAGTCTCGGAGAGTAGTTGGATGGGTGGCCATGTGAAGCAGCTTGACTCCTGAGAGTTTTTAGAGCTTCGGTCCTGCCCCACACTGAAGCACATGTACACATGTGGTGTCTCCTTAGACAAGTGACTTTGTTCGAAATGTGCCTCTGTTCACCCAGCAGTGAGTGGGTACCCGGTAGGATGAGATGGTAATGTGGCTGTTAATCTTCTAGCGCATCACAGGCAGCTTGGGTTGTATACTCCCCAGGGAGCTGAGAATGAAAATTGATTGCTCACTGATCCATTGACCGGGGTAATAATAGTGTAGCGCTATGAGCATTCACTTGGTGAATGGAATCAGGGGCATTATAAATGCACTTATTGTTATTCTTCTTCTTCTTCTTCTTATTATTATTATTGTCAGTCGCCATTTTGTAACCAGCCATTCAAGTCGGCTGGCAGGATTGTACAGATATCGTGACGTCATAGTGTTTGATGAGATCTGTTGTCACTTCTCAATGCACCCTGTTCGCACTTTGAGTTACTGAGGGTCCGATGGCGGTCACAAGAAAGATGTTATTGTCACAGACGAATATTTAACCAAATAGTCCTTGGTAGCCTGTGTCGATCAAAAACGTTACATATGTCAGTAGAGGGTTATTGGGAACTGACCAGGAATTCCAAATATGTAAAACTACTCATTTGGAACTCTCTTGTATATGGACCGGAGGCCTTACATACAATAAATATCTTTGACTTTGACAATATGTCCCGCGACCTGGTCTACCCCTACTGTGCCCAACTTTGGGCATAGAAGTGTTAAATGATAAAAGTTAGTTCATCAATAATACGAGATCTGGCGAGAGGAGACTCCATTCAAAATGGCGGCGCCCGGCGAGTGCATTCGTGACCAACTGGTGTTATTTCCGGGACAAGCCGAATAGCGACTCGTGCCCCTCTCATTGCTTTATTTTCGCACATAACATGCATCGATAGAGGGCGAGTCTTCTTGTAGGTTACGGAAAGGGGCGAGTGGTAACGAATGCCAGCGAGTGATCACATTCAATGCAGCCAGGGTAACTGGTAAGTAATGTACTATGTGACGTAAGGGAGGTAGGCTGCTGGGGAAATGACATGAGTCAGACATTAGTCTGGTTGAGAATGCCGCTGTTGCATACGTACATGTCCTGTTATCAGATATGCAACCGAATATACAGCCTTGACTCAAGGTACCATCGCTATGTCATCTGGGTCATATTCTGATCTAACATAGGAATAGACTAAAATTGTGCAATAATATCCGTAACAAGAAAACAGCGTTATCACGTCCCCCGCCATGGGGCCGATTAGAATTTTGTTTGCTCATAAGCACTTGGGCTGGTTTATGTCATCAGAAAAAAATGATTAAATAAGAAATTAATACACTCAAAAGGCCCCTTCTCTGGAAAAAACAATAACTCAGTCTTGATAAGTATCTCTTAGATAAGCTAACTTCAGTAGTTTCTGTAAAAAAACGTTTCCCCATTGCAGAATTATGTATGCAACCAGTACAATAACATAGATCAGGGCCGTAAATGTGTAAAAAATATTTTACGAGACCAATTTTCGAACTCAGACAAGTATCTCTTATTCATTTTCATGTAACTTCAGAGGAGACAATTTGTCCCGATTGCACACACGTTGCACAAAGTAAAATAACATAGATCAAGGAACGAAATTCTGTAAAAACATAATTGACGGGACAAATATCTCTTATATAAGCATGCAAACTTTTATTCATGTAATTTCAGTAGTTACTGAGAAAACTTTTCCCCATTCACATAGTAAGTTAAAAAACATGAAGCAAGGGCCATAACTGTGAAAAAAGAGTGTACGGCAACAGTTTTCGAACCCATTTGAGATCGTGACATGTAACATCAGGGTGTAAAATTTCATTTCTCTAACTCGGATAGGTTTTTGAGAACATTGATCCAAACTGAGGAGCAGAAGGACAGAAAGACGGACGAACGGATGGACGAGCTCCGTTTCTCTATCCCCCGCCCCACGTCTAATGCTCCGAGGACGCTGGAAAAAGAAGGCAAAGCAACTTTTTGTGAAGGACAGATCGATGAAGTCAACGTGAATATATGATTCTGTTACACACAGTGAAACTCTGCGAAAACTTCAGTTGTTGCACGATCACAGATGCGAACAAATTGTACATCGTAAAATTGTCACTTAGAGCAAGTATTTCAGCTATTTCACTGTGTATCTCTGCTTATGTAAATATAAACAGTCCCCTGGATGGAATGTTAACCCTTTAACCTCTAGAGTTACCCATTCTGCCGTGATAGAGGTGTAACACTGCTGTAAGAGGCTGCTGTGATATTGCTGTATTGTTGCTAAATCCAGGCTATTGTGACATAGCTGTAATATTGCTGAATCCAGGCTGTTGTGATATAGCTGTAATATTGCTGACAACAGGCCGCTGTGATATAACTGTAATATTGCTGACTGCAGGTTGCTGTGATATAACTGTAATATTGCATTCAGGCTACTGTGATATAGCTGTAATATTGTGAACTACAGGCTGCTGTGATATAACTGTAATATTGCTGAATCCAGGCCACTGTGATATAGCTGTAATATTGCTGAATCCAGGCTACTGTGATATAACTGTAATATTGTGAACTACAGGCTGCTGTGATATAACTGTAATGTTGCTGAATCCAGGCCACTGTGATATAGCTGTAAAATTGCTGAATCCAGGCTACTGTGATATAACTGTAATATTGTGAACTACAGGCTGCTGTGATATAACTGTAATGTTGCTGAATCCAGGCCACTGTGATATAGCTGTAAAATTGTGAACTACAGGCTGCTGTGATATAACTGTAATATTGCTGAATCCAGGCCACTGTGATATAGCTGTAATATTGCTGAATCCAGGCTACTGTGATATAACTGTAATATTGTGAACTACAGGCTGCTGTGATATAACTGTAATGTTGCTGAATCCAGGCCACTGTGATATAGCTGTAAAATTGCTGAATCCAGGCTACTGTGATATAACTGTAATATTGTGAACTACAGGCTGCTGTGATATAGCTGTAATATTGCTGAATCCAGGCTACTGTGATATAACTGTAATATTGTGAACTACAGGCTGCTGTGATATAGCTGTAATATTGCTGAATCCAGGCTACTGTGATATAGCTGTAATATTGCCGAATCCAGGCTGCTGTGATATTGTTGTATTGTTGCTGAATCCAGGCTATTGTGATATAGCTGTAATATTGCCGAATGCAGGCTGCTGTGATATTGTTGTATTGTTGCTGAATCCAGGCCACTGTGATATAGCTGTAATATTGCTGACTACATGCTGTTGTGATATAGCTGTAATATTGCTGAATCCAGGCTACTGTGATATAGCTGTATTGTTGCTGAATCCAGGCTGCTGTGGTATAACTGTAATATTGCTGACTACAGGCTGCTGTGATATAGCTGTAATGTTGCTGAATCCAAGCTGTGGTCGATATAGCTGTAATATTGCTGACTACAGGCTGCTGTTATTTAGCTGTAATATTGCTGAATCCAGGCTGTGTCCGATATAGCTGTAATATTGCTGACTACAGGCTGCTGTGATATAGCTGTAATATTGCTGAATCCAGGCTGTGTCCGATATAGCTGTAATATTGCGGACTACAGGCTGCTGTGATATTGCTGTATTGTTGCTGAATCCAGGCTACTGTGATATAGCTGTAATATTGCTGACTACAGGCTGCTTTGATATAACTGTAATATTGCTGAATCCAGGCTGCTGTGATATTGCTGTATTGTTGCTGAATCCAGGCTACTGTGATATAGCTGTAATATTGCTGACTACAGGCTGCTTTGATATAACTGTAATATTGCTGAATCCAGGCTGCTGTGATATAGCTGTAATATTGCTGACTACAGGCTGCTGTGATATTGCTGTATTGTTGCTGAATCCAGGCTACTGTGATATAGCTGTAATATTGCTGACAACAGGCTGCTGTGGTATAACTGTAATATTGCCGACTACAGGCTGCTGTGATATAGCTGTAATATTGCCGACTATAGTATGACTGAGAAACCATGCCAAAAATTGACATATATACCTCACACACACAGGATACTGACTCCGAGTGGAAAAATTTCTTGTTTTATCCCTATAATGCCGAGCTCAGGGTAACATCTCTAACGGACTTTGGAATGACTCTGCGAGGGAATCGTACATAGGCGTACATACACGTATCAAGCCCATGTATTTGTAACCCGTTTTTCATTTATACAGGCAGTTCGTACGCTTTCTTTGACAGCCGGGCTTTAGGAGGACAAAAGAGCGTTTACCAAAAATTATAAACTACAAATGTCAAATGGTGGAGGTTGTCGTCACCTACAATGTCAGTCCATTTTATCATTTTTATGCTTCTTGCTTTAAGTTATCATAGATGCTTCGCTATGCGATTTACAATATAACCTCTCACTGCAGCTCTGCCTGCCGTTTCGTGTCTAACTTCCAGCATATGTTGCTGGTGACATACTCTGGTACGATATCCCCATGGCACCATTGTCCAAGAGATTTGAATTACAAAATGTTCTCACCCTTGTACAATATCTTGTGGGATGACCGAACTACAAGTTTGCCCAACAGTTACATTCCGACCAAAGACACACCAACAAAAACAACGAGATGAGGACACTCTGATACGGCTTCGTTTGGGCCTCAATTTCTGCGACGTCAATGATGGATTAGGAATAGCTCCGAACTGTCCAAGTTGGAATGAAATCAAATGAACCAAATTACCCTTTTCTACTGGATTGATATGCCCATGCAAACTCAAGGCATGATTTAGAAATACAAGTTTGAATTTGATCAACCTTTTTCCTTTTTTTTACCATGTTGAGCCAAAGTATCTCACGTGGGTCAGTTAACGTTCAAAAGGCAATTCTCGGCGTCGTAAAATATGCAAGCAAACATAAAGATATTAGTTTGCCGCTTTTGACATTTTAATTAATTTTTATGAACCCTCTTAACTCTTCCTCCACTTTCTATGACTAGAAAGCTATTTTCCTTGGTTTTAAGTGAACTTTATCCATGCCGTGTCCTGGTGAGATTAATTTCAGAAGACCAAGAAAAAATTGAAATATTGCTGATAAGGAATTGTATAATGGACTTTGCTTTCAGTGGCGATTTCTTATGATAATGGAAATGGTTTTGTCGTTTTAATAACAATTCACTTATTCATTGGATAACAGTTATATCACGGCGTGTCAGCTTCATGTGGGAGGAAAGCCCGAAGTGATGCGACTTGAATTACTATGGATCATCGCAACACATGAATCTGACATGTTACATAAATGAAATACTGTTGGGGTGACGCTCAAGTACGCTTACTCACACATTCACTCTGTATGTAACCCCTTGAGATGTCTGATCAGAGAAGGAAATTGAAGCATGCATAAAAATAATTCACAAAAAACTCGATATCCTTTCATGGCATATTTCATACAGCGCAATGTGAAACAATAAACATTTTCAAAAGTATGTGACCCCAAAGGTAACCACTTACTAAAATATCATAACATTTTGTGACAACACCGGTTAAAATATGTTTGTTTATTTTAAAAGCAATGATCGTTTATTTACATTTTGAAGAGAAGATGGTTCCTACTAAATGCGGTCCTTTCCATTAGAGGGTGTGTTGTGGTATCTCCTTGTTTAAAATTTATAAATCGACTTGAAGTAATAAATGCATTTCTCTACATAATTTTTGATATCGAAAATACTTCGATTCCACTTTCAATCTATGATCATGAATAAATCACGAGGACAAATAACAAACAAATGTTGATTTAATTACACAATCAAAGCATCCAAGCCACTTGAATAAAATCGATTTATTTACATAGCGATGCTTGCAAGTCGTGCTGTATCCTATATCTTCGTTTGATTTCATGACATGAAACAATATATATGCAATGAGGAAAATACTCAACTGATCCTCTATCATAAAGGTACGTGGATATATGTATATGTTTTGTGAAACATATATTCGAGATGGACTAACGCCATAATCACAGTTCGTGATGCAGATACGCCACAATCACAAAGTAAACAAAAACAAGCTGAAAGGGATCAGATATAAATTAACCAGAATGAGATTGATTAAGATTCACCATGCCCTTCCTTAAAACTTCCACACAAATAAACTTTAGATTGTCACGTTTTGACCTCCTTTGACAATCGTACAATCTATTTGTATCCCAAAGCAAGCCATTTTGTTGGAGGAACGTTCACCGTAGTCTACTGATTGTTCCCGAGAGATACCAACTCCGCACACCTGTGGCCAGCACTCGAACCATTCGTCACCATTCGCCCCTTTCCGCAGCCAGGACTACCTCGGATACTCTGACATTCTTATTCCCTCGAGACCTCGAGTCTACAGAAGACATAGGCCACTGTTAGAAGTGTTAATAGCAGAATCAAGTGGATGTGCCGAATGTCCTCGCTCCCATCCCTGGTGGATGCACATATTGACAGGTTAATTCTCAACACCGCGGGGGCGCGTCTGGATGTCAGGATGTGCAAGATAAGCAATCAATACAAAAGCCCACCGATGCTATTTGGGGATTTAGCAACGTGATGAGGCATATCAGCAACACATCTACATCCGACAATGGATCGCGATCCATAAAAAAATATTACTAATAAGTTTTTAGTCGGAGATAAGTTCTTATGTCAGTTAAAGAAATGTGAAAAGTTAATATACTTTTTCTCTGACATATTCTGGAAGCATTTGTCCTCAAATGGTTTCCTGTTTTAGGACACATGCACGTGAAAAAAATACATGTAGGTAGATTCATGAATTGTTTTAGCCATGAGTAAATTAGAAAAAATATATATGTGACTTTACACCCTCACAAGAACTACGCCTTCTCTATTTGTGTACGAGTAAATTGCAAACGATTCCATGCCAAGTATTTATTTTTGCGTTTCTGTTTCAACAGACCGAAGAAAATAGGCCAGACCCACTTGTGGACCACTTTTCCCTGATTGATAATAGGATTGGCGGGATTTGTGTTGAATTACCACGATGAACATTGTCACCGATTTCGTATTATTGCCCGTATGTTGTTTGTGTTACTGACTGAATAAGCAATCTGTGAAGTTATCATTGTTGACATAAATTAATTAAAATAATTGGTTGTTACTTTTGTTTGTTTGTTGTTTAAAGCCGCACTCAGCAATATTCCAGCTATATGGCGGCAGTCTGTCAAAAAATCATGTCTACGCAATTGGGACTCGATAGCATGCATCAACCAAGTCAGCGAGCCTGACCACCCATTCCCGTTAGTCGCCTAGAAGAATTGCGTTCAATGTGTTGTTGCGGTGTGCAGACTTTGCGTTAAAACCGCTACGTACACATTGTACAAGTCAAGTCTAAAATACACCGAACTCTTCATACATGTATGACATTAAGTCTTTGAAAGGCTTTTAGAAGCGAAGCGAGGAACACAACGTTTCAGAGTACATGTAAATGCTTACTCCTTGATAACTGGCAATGGACAATGGGCCAACGGGAGGCCGGAGGGTAATTAGCTTTGCCCATTGTCCATTGCCAATTGCCAATCAGTGATAATTTAGTCCTAGCTTCCAGTTGTCCATAACTGTCAACACTAATTACTGTAAAGTGTTGGCTTCCATTGTCTATTGCTAATCACCCATCAGCGCCAATTATCTGTTGGCTTCCCTTAAGTTTCACCTTTGGTGACTTATTACTTTTGTTGGTCTTACGTGTACATATACATGCCCTCTGCCTCATAGCATTCATTCATCTGATGAAGGAGTAAGTATATACTCCGAAACGTTGTGTTCCCCATTATAAAGAAGTTGACATCCATAAATTATCTTCCTTATGTATGCTATTGATTTCATTTTGATAAATGTTCAAAATACCACCGATATTTTCTGAAAGGTTAGAACAAGAACTCTGAAATGGGTTACTATCAAATAACTTTATGCCTAAAATTTGATATAATAATACAAATGTGGATCATCTAATACAGGATATGGTTTATATAAATAGGTACATCATATGGAAATACAAACACATTTGATGTGCCGAACGTACGTCTGTCTTACCTTCACAATACCTGTTTCTCTGATATATATTGCGGTAACTGTCTCACTGACTCGAACAACGAAGCCCCGGATCGAGGTAGGCATAACATAGAGCATAAAGTTTTTAATTTACCAAATTCAGCAATGTGATGTAAACTGTCGAGCAAAAGAATGAATATTGGATTTGATTCAAATATTACAGGGGGCACGGGTGGCCCAGTCGTCTGAGGCGCCGCGATTCGCTGTGCAGAGTTGCGTCCCCTGGGTACGCCAGAAACCTATGATTGTGGGTTCGAATCCCGGTTCGCCCCGATTATGTTTCTAGGTTTGTCAGCACCATACCCGTGTTCGTGGGTTTCACCGAAGTGGTAAACGTCTGAGACCTGCATCACTTCGGCTTTCCTCCCACATTAAGCTGACACGCCGTGATATAACTGGAATAGTGTTAAAAGCGGCGTTAAACCCAACTCACTCACTCACTCACTCACCCGACAGGTCACACCGGGTGTACATTTTCGTTTGTCCGTCAGTTTATGTAAAAACGACCATTAACAAGATGACAGCTTCACTATTTTATTTGATAAAGAACTGGGGTTCTAGCCAATGATCTGTCCGCTGAGGGTACTTGGTATCAGCACGTGATCGATGATGTGGACGACGCCATTGTCAGCTTCAATATCACTCTCGGTCATATGAGCCACGTGGTTCAGACGGATGTCGTTGTCTGGAGGACAAACAAGAAAGAATTGGATTCTCTGACTCATTATCGGTCAGAAGATGTCACATCCAGTGAGGCTGTTTTACCCCCATCCAATATTCTCGCACTAAAACAGCGGTGGTCGCCAAGAATACCCTTTACATATTGTTCTTGTTGGATTCAAACCCAACTACGGCGTGACGAGCAAACGCTTTAACCAATAGGCAATTCTACAGCCCCGGGAGATGACGATTATGTCATAATATCACTCTCAGTCCTGTTCCTGAACATATGGAAAGTTGATTTGTATGAATGTTTTCCTGCAGTAAAGCTGCAAATCCTTAGTATGACATTTACTGTCTAAAACACCTTTATTTTCTTGTCCATGTTCCTCGACCATTATATTTAATGATTCTATCAACTATTGTCTACCCCGCGATCGATGTCTGTGAAGGTGGTCGTGATGTTGTCATCATGTCGCTATTGAGTATTCTACCATGAATTTGGAAATAACTCGATTCTGATTAGCCAGTCAAACGTGGTTAAATCACAATAAACGCCGGGCGACCGGGTAGCCTAGTGGTTAAAGCGTTCGCTCGTCACGCCGAGAACCCGGGTTCGATTCCCGACATGGGTACAATTTGTGAAGCCCATTTCTGGTGTCCCCTGCCGTGATATTGCTGGAATATTACTAAAAGCGGCGTAAAACATACTCACACACACTCACAATAAACCCCCTCTGATTGACACAGCCGATTTGATGGCCGTGTCATCGTAAGCGTTCGGTTCCAAATTCAATATAGGGCGGTTTAATCTACAGGTAACCTAGTTCTACTTTGAAAACCCAGTGTGTTTATCTGCTGAATACAACATCCCCTCTAACATACCTTACACATGAATCTTGCAATCTGACTGACTGAGATCCGTTCTACTAATTTCATTTTTTTCCTGGCTCGAATAGCCGAACTTTTGGCATTACAATAGCAACTACCAACCGGAATTTTTCATCGCGAATTAATGACGTAAGACGTCATTCTCTGAGTTTGCTTTCTGTCGGCTCCTATGTTTCAGTGAATGTGAAAAATGAACGAAGTGGATAAATGCCTAACTGTGATATTCTACCGAGTCAGACCAAAGCATGCACGCATAAGACGCACCTGTAATATAATTAAGTGTGTAGTAAGATAGAAGTGTTGTCCACCGTTCCCACGGACATTAACTAACACAGAGGGTACTCATGCCCCCTCGATATTCTTGGACAGCTTATAACAAACTGCAAAGCGAATACAAACTACACAAAACACTTTGAAGAACATCCCCAATTAGAAGGCTGTGTTGCAATACCCAGCCACGACGGATTAACCATAGCCATATGGTGTGAAGAAATCGGGTGTCCTTTAACTTCTTTTGAGTAGTATATTTTAACTAGTTATGTTTAAGATACTGACTGCTGATATCAACACCGATGTCGTGGCCGGTGTACAGGGTTGTTATTCTGCCGTTGTGGTCCAAACTCTTCAGATGGAGGGTGCCCAGGTGCAGATGGTAACGGACCAATTCTAAAATTACAAAATATGTACAATACCCTATCAATCCGGGCGGGTTAATCGATATGTTATTTTCCTTTACGTAGTCTACCAATAATTTACCAACTAATGCATAACTAGAGGCCTGACGGTAGTGTGCATTACATTTTATCAAGGATGTGATAAATACAAATACATTACTCAGGCATGTGATACATGCATATATATCCCTGAAACATGTAACCCAAGCATACATATCACCCAAACACATGATGCATGCATTAACATGGGTCACGCATGTGGTACATGCATATATATCACTGAAACATGTAAGCCAAGCATGCATATCACCCAAACATATACACCCAAACCCGCATATACAGCACTCAGGCATGTGGTACTCGCATATACAGCACTCAGGCATGTGATACTCGCACATACAACACTCAGGCGTGTGATACTCGCATGTACAGCACTCAGGCATGTGGTACTCGCATATACAGCACTCAGGCATGTGATACTTGCATATACAGCACTCAGGCGTGTGATACTCGCACATACAGCACTCAGGCATGTGATACTCGCACATACAACACTCAGGCGTGTGATACTCGCATATACAGCACTCAGGCATGTGATACTTGCATATACAGCACTCAGGCGTGTGATACTCGCATGTACAGCACTCAGGCATGTGGTACTCGCATATACAACACTCAGGCATGTGGTACTCGCATATACAGAACTCAGGCATGTGATACTCGCATATACAGCACTCAGGCGTGTGATACTCGCATATACAACACTCAGGCATGTGATACTCGCACATACAGCACTCAGGCATGTGATGCTCGCATATACAACACTCAGGCATGTGATACTCGCATATACAGCACTCAGGCATGTGGTACTCGCATATACAGCACTCAGGCATGTGATACTCGCATATACAGCACTCAGGCGTGTGATACTCGCATATACAACACTCAGGCGTGTGATACTCGCATATACAGAACTCAGGCATGTGATACTCGCATATACAGCACTCAGGCATGTGATACTCGCATATACAGCACTCAGGCATGTCATACTCGCATATACAGCACTCAGGCGTGTGATACTCGCACATGCAGCTTTCAGGCATGAGATACTCGCATATACAGCACTCAGGCATGTGATACTCGCATATACAGCACTCAGGCATGTGATACTCGCATATACAGCACTCAGGCATGAGATACTCGCATATACAGCACTCAGGCGTGTGATACTCGCACATGCAGCTTTCAGGCATGTGATACTCGCATATACAGCACTCAGGCATGTGATACTCGCATATACAGCACTCAGGCGTGTGATACTCGCACATGCAGCTTTCAGGCATGAGATACTCGCATATACAGCACTCAGGCATGTGATACTCGCATATACAGCACTCAGGCATGTGATACTCGCACATGCAGCTTTCAGGCATGTGATACTCGCATATACAGCACTCAGGCATGTCATACTCGCATATACAGCACTCAGGCGTTTGATACTCGCACATGCAGCTTTTAGGCATGTGATACTCGCATATACAGCAGTCAGGTATGTGATACTCGCATATACAGCATTCAGGCATGTGATACTCGCATATACAGCACTCGGGTATGTGATACTCGCATATACAACACTCAGGCATGTGATACTCGCATATACAGCACTCAGGCATGTGATACTCGCATATACAGAACTCAGGCATGTGATACTCGCACATGCAGCTTTCAGGCATGTGATACTCGCATATACAGCACTCAGGCATGTGATACTCGCATATACAGCACTCAGGCATGTGATACTCGCACATGCAGCTTTCAGGCATGTGATACTCGCATATACAGCACTCAGGGATGTGATACTCGCATATACAGTACTCAGGCATGTGATACTCGCACATGCAGCTTTCAGGCATGTGATACTCGCATATACAGCACTCAGGCATGTCATACTCGCATATACAACACTCAGGCATGTGATACTCGCATATACAGCACTCAGGCATGTGATACTCGCATATACAGCACTCAGGCATGAGATACTCGCATATACAGCACTCAGGCGTTTGATACTCGCATATACAGCACTCAGGCATGTGATACTCGCATATACAGCACTCAGGCATGTGATACTCGCACATACAGCACTCAGGCATGTGATACTCGCATATACAGCACTCAGGCATGTGATACTCGCATAAACAGCACTCAGGCGTGTGATACTCGCACATGCAGCTTTCAGGCATGTGATACTCGCATATACAGCACTCAGGCATGTGATACTCGCATATACAGCACTCAGGCGTGTGATACTCGCACATGCAGCTTTCAGGCATGAGATACTCGCATATACAGCACTCAGGCATGTGATACTCGCATATACAGCACTCAGGCATGTGATACTCGCATATACAGCACTCAGGCGTGTGATACTCGCACATGCAGCTTTCAGGCATGAGATACTCGCATATACAGAACTCAGGCATGTGATACTCGCATATACAGCACTCAGGCATGTGATACTCGCATATACAGCACTCAGGCGTGTGATACTCGCATATACAGCACTCAGGCATGTGATACTCGCATATACAGCACTCAGGCATGTGATACTCGCATATACAGCACTCAGGCATGTGATACTCGCATATACAGCACTCAGGCGTGTGATACTCGCATATACAACACTCAGGCATGTGATACTTGCATATACAGCACTCAGGCATGAGATACTCGCACATGCAGCTTTCAGGCATGTGATACTCGCATATACAGCACTCAGGCATGTGATACTCGCATATACAGCACTCAGGCATGTGATACTTGCATATACAGCACTCAGGCGTGTGATACTCGCATATACAACACTTAGGCATGTGATACTCGCACATACAGCACTCAGGCATGTGATGCTCGCATATACAACACTCAGGCATGTGATACTCGCATATACAGCACTCAGGCATGTGGTACTCGCATATACAGCACTCAGGCATGTGATACTCGCATATACAGCACTCAGGCGTGTGATACTCGCATATACAACACTCAGGCGTGTGATACTCGCATATACAGAACTCAGGCATGTGATACTCGCATATACAGCACTCAGGCATGTGATACTCGCATATACAGCACTCAGGCATGTCATACTCGCATATACAGCACTCAGGCGTGTGATACTCGCACATGCAGCTTTCAGGCATGAGATACTCGCATATACAGCACTCAGGCATGTGATACTCGCATATACAGCACTCAGGCATGTGATACTCGCATATACAGCACTCAGGCATGAGATACTCGCATATACAGCACTCAGGCGTGTGATACTCGCACATGCAGCTTTCAGGCATGTGATACTCGCATATACAGCACTCAGGCATGTGATACTCGCATATACAGCACTCAGGCGTGTGATACTCGCACATGCAGCTTTCAGGCATGAGATACTCGCATATACAGCACTCAGGCATGTGATACTCGCATATACAGCACTCAGGCATGTGATACTCGCACATGCAGCTTTCAGGCATGTGATACTCGCATATACAGCACTCAGGCATGTCATACTCGCATATACAGCACTCAGGCGTTTGATACTCGCACATGCAGCTTTTAGGCATGTGATACTCGCATATACAGCAGTCAGGTATGTGATACTCGCATATACAGCATTCAGGCATGTGATACTCGCATATACAGCACTCGGGTATGTGATACTCGCATATACAACACTCAGGCATGTGATACTCGCATATACAGCACTCAGGCATGTGATACTCGCATATACAGAACTCAGGCATGTGATACTCGCACATGCAGCTTTCAAGCATGTGATACTCGCATATACAGCACTCAGGCATGTGATACTCGCATATACAGCACTCAGGCATGTGATACTCGCACATGCAGCTTTCAGGCATGTGATACTCGCATATACAGCACTCAGGCATGTGATACTCGCATATACAGCACTCAGGCGTGTGATACTCGCACATGCAGCTTTCAGGCATGAGATACTCGCATATACAGCACTCAGGCATGTGATACTCGCATATACAGCACTCAGGCATGTGATACTCGCATATACAGCACTCAGGCGTGTGATACTCGCACATGCAGCTTTCAGGCATGAGATACTCGCATATACAGAACTCAGGCATGTGATACTCGCATATACAGCACTCAGGCATGTGATACTCGCATATACAGCACTCAGGCGTGTGATACTCGCATATACAGCACTCAGGCATGTGATACTCGCATATACAGCACTCAGGCATGTGATACTCGCATATACAGCACTCAGGCATGTGATACTCGCATATACAGCACTCAGGCGTGTGATACTCGCATATACAACACTCAGGCATGTGATACTTGCATATACAGCACTCAGGCATGAGATACTCGCACATGCAGCTTTCAGGCATGTGATACTCGCATATACAGCACTCAGGCATGTGATACTCGCATATACAGCACTCAGGCATGTGATACTTGCATATACAGCACTCAGGCGTGTGATACTCGCATATACAACACTTAGGCATGTGATACTCGCACATACAGCACTCAGGCATGTGATGCTCGCATATACAACACTCAGGCTTGGATACTCGCATATACAGCACTCAGGCATGTGGTACTCGCATATACAGCACTCAGGCATGTGATACTCGCATATACAGCACTCAGGCGTGTGATACTCGCATATACAACACTCAGGCGTGTGATACTCGCATATACAGAACTCAGGCATGTGATACTCGCATATACAGCACTCAGGCATGTGATACTCGCATATACAGCACTCAGGCATGTCATACTCGCATATACAGCACTCAGGCGTGTGATACTCGCACATGCAGCTTTCAGGCATGAGATACTCGCATATACAGCACTCAGGCATGTGATACTCGCATATACAGCACTCAGGCATGTGATACTCGCATATACAGCACTCAGGCATGAGATACTCGCATATACAGCACTCAGGCGTGTGATACTCGCACATGCAGCTTTCAGGCATGTGATACTCGCATATACAGCACTCAGGCATGTGATACTCGCATATACAGCACTCAGGCGTGTGATACTCGCACATGCAGCTTTCAGGCATGAGATACTCGCATATACAGCACTCAGGCATGTGATACTCGCATATACAGCACTCAGGCATGTGATACTCGCACATGCAGCTTTCAGGCATGTGATACTCGCATATACAGCACTCAGGCATGTCATACTCGCATATACAGCACTCAGGCGTTTGATACTCGCACATGCAGCTTTTAGGCATGTGATACTCGCATATACAGCAGTCAGGTATGTGATACTCGCATATACAGCATTCAGGCATGTGATACTCGCATATACAGCACTCGGGTATGTGATACTCGCATATACAACACTCAGGCATGTGATACTCGCATATACAGCACTCAGGCATGTGATACTCGCATATACAGAACTCAGGCATGTGATACTCGCACATGCAGCTTTCAAGCATGTGATACTCGCATATACAGCACTCAGGCATGTGATACTCGCATATACAGCACTCAGGCATGTGATACTCGCACATGCAGCTTTCAGGCATGTGATACTCGCATATACAGCACTCAGGGATGTGATACTCGCATATACAGTACTCAGGCATGTGATACTCGCACATGCAGCTTTCAGGCATGTGATACTCGCATATACAGCACTCAGGCATGTCATACTCGCATATACAACACTCAGGCATGTGATACTCGCATATACAGCACTCAGGCATGTGATACTCGCATATACAGCACTCAGGCATGAGATACTCGCATATACAGCACTCAGGCGTTTGATACTCGCATATACAGCACTCAGGCATGTGATACTCGCATATACAGCACTCAGGCATGTGATACTCGCACATACAGCACTCAGGCATGTGATACTCGCATATACAGCACTCAGGCATGTGATACTCGCATAAACAGCACTCAGGCGTGTGATACTCGCACATGCAGCTTTCAGGCATGTGATACTCGCATATACAGCACTCAGGCATGTGATACTCGCATATACAGCACTCAGGCGTGTGATACTCGCACATGCAGCTTTCAGGCATGAGATACTCGCATATACAGCACTCAGGCATGTGATACTCGCATATACAGCACTCAGGCATGTGATACTCGCATATACAGCACTCAGGCGTGTGATACTCGCATATACAGCACTCAGGCATGTGATACTCGCATATACAGCACTCAGGCATGTGATACTCGCATATACAGCACTCAGGCATGTGATACTCGCATATACAGCACTCAGGCGTGTGATACTCGCATATACAACACTCAGGCATGTGATACTTGCATATACAGCACTCAGGCATGAGATACTCGCACATGCAGCTTTCAGGCATGTGATACTCGCATATACAGCACTCAGGCATGTGATACTCGCATATACAGCACTCAGGCATGTGATACTTGCATATACAGCACTCAGGCGTGTGATACTCGCATATACAACACTTAGGCATGTGATACTCGCATATACAGCACTCAGGCTTGTGATACTCGCACATGCAGCTTTCAGGCATGTGATACTCGCATATACAGCACTCAGGGATGTGATACTCGCACATGCATCTTTCAGGCATGTGATACTCGCATATACAGCACTTAGGCATGTGATACTCGCACATACAGCACTCAGGCATGTGATACTCGCATATACAACACTCATGCATGTGATACTCGCATATACAGCACTCAGGCATGTGATACTCGCATATACAGCTTTCAGGCATGTGATACTCGCATATACAGCACTCAGGCATGTGATACTCGTATATACAGCTTTCAGGCATGTGATACTCGCATATACAGCACTCAGGCGTGTGATACTCGCATATACAGCACTCAGGCATGTGATACTCGCATATACAGCTTTCAGGCATGTGATACTCGCATATACAGCACTCAGGCATGTGATACTCGTATATACAGCTTTCAGGCATGTGATACTCTCATATACAGCACTCAGGCATGTGATACTCGCACATGCAGCTTTCAGGCGCGTGATACTCGCACATGCAGCTTTCAGGCATGTGATACTCGCATATACAACACTCAGGCATGTCATACTCGCATATACAGAACTCAGGCATGTGATACTCGCATATACAGCACTCAGGCGTGTGATACTCGCATATACAGAACTCAGGCATGTGATATATGCACATGCAGCTTTCAGGCATGTGATACTCGCATATACAGCACTCAGGCATGTGATATATGCACATGCAGCTTTCAGGCATGTGATACTCGCATATACAGCACTCAGGCATGTGATATATGCACATATGTCTCACTCAAATATGTGATATATGCATAATATGATGAATGCATATACAGGCCAGCGCATGCATATATATTACTGAAGCAGGTGATATACACATTTATCACTCAGAGATGCAATACAGAACGTCAAACGTCAATGTTATCATTGAAAGTCCAACGAGTTTAAGTGATGTTCATTATTGGGTTTGTTCACAGCGCAGTGCGTTTGTGGGACAACATAATTTGTTAAAATGAAAAATAGTTCGAAATAAATGACAAACGTTCCAGATATACCTGAGGCAAAATTAAGGTTCGAGAAGATGCGAGACACCTGCGACTGATCCAGTTTAGCAAAGGCCGCATCACTGGGAACGAACAGCGTGTGACGGTAGTTGGCTGAAAAAGTGAGTGAGTTATAATTAATGTCTGCAATATTTCAGCCATTTTATCAGGACGCTGAATGAAGACTCAGCTAGTGGGCTTTAGGCAGTTGGTCCCTCTGGTCGTTTCGCGAGCGGTTCCTATTTCTCACATAGAAAAAATCGTTCTGGAAAATTTGAACATGTACTTTATGTATTCTATGAATATTGTTACCATGAAAAAGGAAATACTGAAAAACTGTATGTATCAATTTTTTCATAACGAGCTCTCGAATCAACAATAAAATACTGTCAACACGGAGCTCTTGTAGCCACCCTGTGTCGATATTGGACCATATTCTGCTGAGACCATTCCTTAATCGAAATACATACATACAGAAATTTCGAGCTGATACCGAGAGGCTGAACAATTAAATGCAATACGTGCCTTTTTATTTATAGACTAATAGCATTCCCTTTCATCACAGGAAACCCGTATCACAATTACTATTTAGGATTGATGCTTAATGTAAGCCTTGCTTTAGGATTAAGCAGGGATCGAAATGAGAGGTCGAAGACTACCTTTAATAGGAAGAACAATTGAACTGACCACTGCTATAGGTTGAGTTGAGCATTCTGTCATACCGGACTCTGTCTACAGCCTTCTTGAACTGGGTCAGTTTGTACTCGGGCTTCTCCAAGATCTCGTAGATAGTTCCCTCGGGGACATCCAGGACAGTATCCAGGAGGTAGATGACGCCATTAGCAGATTCAAGGTCAACCGCCACAGCTTTAGCATTGTTGAAGTATATATCCTGAAAATGTACGCCGACATAACATAACAATATATGGTTATAATAATATGGTATTTTAATTGTGTAAGATTGTAACGGTTTGATAACATGAAACATAAGTTTGTTTATGTATAAAAATATGGACTGTATCAAACGGATGACGTCATAAATGACGTCATTAATTGTTCCAATGACATGACTAGCCCTGATGAATGGTTCTGTATTTATACCCAATGGTCCCACGTCGTGAAAAACCTCCAAAGGTTCATGGAATATTTTGACTAATCAGTACGTTCAGCTTAATGTGGGAGAAAAGCCCGAAGTGATGCAGAAGTCTCAGACGTGTACCACTTCGGTGAAACCCACGAGCACGGGTATGGTGCTGACAAACCTAGAAACATAATCGGGGTGAACTGGGATTCGAACCCACAATCATAGGTTACTGGCCCAAAGGACGCAACTCTGCACAGTGAATCGCGGTGCCTTAGACGACTGGGCCACCCGTGCCCCCTGGTGATTATGAAGAAATGTATTGCATTCACATAGTCTAATACTATCGGGTACCCATGGCGTGTCAGTGTGGTTGCCCTGTTTACAACCTGATGTCGCGTCCTTCGTGAAATACTTACATTGCCCTGTGTGTACACCCTGATGTCGCGTCGTTCGTGAAATATTTACATTGCCCTGTGTGTACACCCTAATGTCGCGTCGATCGTGAAATACTTACATTGCCCTGTGTGTACATCCTAATGTCGTGTCGTTCGTGAAATACTTGCATTGCCCTGTGTGTACATCCTAATGTCGTGTCGTTCGTGAAATACTCACATTGCCCTGTGTGTACATCCTAATGTCGTGTCGTTCGTGAAATACTTACATTGCCCTGTGTGTACATCCTGATGTCGTGTCGTTCGTGAAATACTTACATTGCCCTGTGTGTACATCCTAATGTCGTGTCGTTCGTGAAATACTTACATTGCCCTGTGTGTACATCCTGATGTCGTGTCGTTCGTGACATTCTTACATTGCCCTGTGTGTACATCCTAATGTCGTGTCGTTCGTGAAATTCTTACATTGCCCTGTGTGTACATCCTAATGTCGTGTCGTTCGTGAAATTCTTACACTGCCCTGTGTGTACATCCTGATGTCGTGTCGTTCGTGAAATTCTTACATTGCCCTGTGTGTACATCCTGATGTCGTGTCGTTCGTGAAATTCTTACATTGCCCTGTGTGTACACCATAATGTCGTGTCGTTCGTGAAATACTTACATTGCCCTGTGTGTACACCCTGATGTCGCGTCCTTCGTGCAATACTTACATTGCCTTGTGTGTACATCCTGATGTCGTGTCGTTCGTGAAATACTTACATTGCCCTGTGTGTACACCCTGATGTCGTGTCGTTCGTGAAATTCTTACATTGCCCTGTGTGTACATCCTAATGTCGTGTCGTTCGTGAAATTCTTACATTGCCCTGTGTGTACATCCTAATGTCGTGTCGTTCGTGAAATTCTTACATTGCCCTGTGTGTACATCCTAATGTGGCGTCGTTCGTGAAATACTTACATTGCCCTGTGTGTATACCCTGATGTCGTGTCGTTCGTGAAATTCTTACATTGCCCTGTGTGTACGCCATAATGTCGTGTCGTTCGTGAAATACTTACATTGCCCTGTGTGTACATCCTAATGTCGTGTCGTTCGTGAAATACTTACATTGCCCTGTGTGTACACCCTGATGTCGCGTCGTTCGTGAAATACTTACATTGCCCTGTGTGTACATCCTAATGTCGCGTCGTTCGATAAATACTTACATTGCCATGTGTGTACACCCTGATGTCGCGTCGTTCGTGAAATACTTACATTGCCCTGTGTGTACATCCTAATGTCGTGTCGTTCGTGAAATACTTACATTGCCCTGTGTGTACACCCTGATGTCGCGTCGTTCGTGAAATACTTACATTGCCCTGTGTGTACATCCTAATGTCGTGTCGTTCGTGAAATACTTACATTGCCCTGTGTGTACATCCTGATGTCGTGTCGTTCGTGAAATACTTACATTGCCCTGTGTGTATACCCTAATGTCGTGTCGTTCGTGAAATACTTACATTGCCATGTGTGTACATCCTGATGTCGTGTCGTTCGTGAAATACTTACACTGCCCTGTGTGTATACCCTAATGTCGCGTCGTTCGTTAAATACTTACATTGCCCTGTGTGTACATCCTGATGTCGTGTCGTTCGAGAAATACTTACATTGCCCTGTGTATACCCTGATGTCGCGTCGTTCGTGAAATACTTACATTGCCCTGTGTGTACACCCTGATGTCGCGTCGTTCGTGAAATACTTACATTGCCCTGTGTGTACATCCTGATGTCGTGTCGTTCGTGAAATACTTACACTGCCCTGTGTATACCCTGATGTCGCGTCGTTCGTGAAATACTTACATTGCCCTGTGTGTACATCCTGATGTCGTGTCGTTCGAGAAATATTTACATTGCCCTGTGTGTACATCCTAATGTCGCGTCGTTCGTGAAATACTTACATTGCCCTGTGTGTATACCCTGATGTCGTGTCGTTCGTGAAATACTTACATTGCCCTGTGTGTATACCCTGATGTCGTGTCGTTCGTGAAATACTTACATTGCCCTGTGTGTATACCCTAATGTCGTGTCGTTTGTGAAATACTTACACTGCCCTGTGTGTACACAATAATGTCGTGTCGTTCGATAAATACTTACATTGCCTTGTGTGTACATCGTAATGTCGTGTCGTTCGTGAAATACTTACATTGCCATGTGTGTATACCCTGATGTCGCGGCGTTCGTGAAATACTTACATTGCCCTGTGTGTACATCCTAATGTCGTGTCGTTCGTGAAATACTTACATTGCCCTGTGTGTACATCCTAATGTCGCGTCGTTCGTGAAATACTTACATTGCTCTGCGCGTATACCCTGATGTCGCGTCGTTCGTGAAATACTTACATTGCCCTGTGTGTAGATCCTAATGTCGCGTCGTTCGTGAAATACTTACATTGCCATGTGTGTATACCCTGATGTCGCGTCGTTCGTGAAATACTTACATTGCCCTCTTTCTACACCCTGATGGCGTGGCCAATGTGTATCACTTACCTTGCCCTGTTTGTACACCGTGATGGCGTGGCCAGTGTGTATCACTTACCTTGTCCTGTTTGTACACCGTGATGGCGTGGCCAGTGTGTATCACTTACATTGCCCTGTTTGTACACCGTGATGGCGTGGCCAGTGTGTATCACTTACCTTGCCATGTTTGTACACCGTGATGGCGTGGCCAGTGTGTATCACTTACATTGCCCTGTTTGTACACCCTGATGGCGTTGCCAGTGTGTATCACTTACATTGCCCTGTTTGTACACCGTGATGGCGTGGCCAGTGTGTATCACTTACATTGCCCTGTTTGTACACCCTGATAGCGTGGCCAGTGTGTATCACTTACATTTCCCTGTTTGTACACCGTGATGGCGTGGCCAGTGTGTATCACTTACATTGCCCTGTTTGCACACCCTGATGGCGTGGCCAGTGTGTATCACTTACATTGCCCTGTTTGTACACCCTGATGGCGTGGCCAGTGATACTGTGAACTAAGCGGCCAGTCACTATGTCCCAGCTGAAGATTTCCCCCTGTAGGACGTGGTACTTGAGAGTGTTGGCCAGATCGTTTTTGTCTGCGAGCAGCTTGTTGAGATCATCTTTTGGGATAGCTGCAAACGCTGAATCAACTGGAGCGAGGATGGTGAAGGGACCTGTGATGGAAAGAAAGTATCAGTAAGAAGAGTAATGCATTGTATTGTGATAAGGATTTGCTTCATTATATGATCGGCTTTGCTTCTAATTCTTTGGAAGTACATAACCTGAATGTGTCTTCTGTTTCCGTGTTCATGTCAATTTAAATATAAGTTATGAAATGAAGATACTTTTAGCACCCTTTTTTAAGGCTTCCCTAAGCCGTTACTGTTTGTTTCCTTGAATCCTCAAGTGTTTTCGCGAACACTGATTTTCAGTGGTCCATTCATATACTTTTCACAGCTATTTTGCCAATTACGCCAAATGGAATCTGTTTGGGTAGATAATCTAGGCTGGTTATTCTCTGGCATTGGCGTTTTATATTCTATCAGTGACGACTAAGAGCGGGGTCGGATGGTAATAAGGCTGTGCCCTATGTGGATGTGTGTAATGGTACCCCATGTACCCTGAATAACTCTGAAGTACCCTGACGTATTACTCGTATATCTTCCTGTGTGTTTGTTGTTAAACGCCGCACTCAGCAATATTCCAGCTATATGACGACTCTAAATAATCGAGTCCAGACAAATCAGTGATTGATATCAATAGCATCGATCCTCGCAATTGGGTTACGATGACAGGCATCATCCAAATCGGCGTGCCTGAACACCCGATCCCGTTAGTCGCCTCTTACGACAAGGACGGGTTGCTGAGGACCTATTCTAACCCGGATCTTCACGGGTCTCCTGTCTCTCTGGACCAGGGCCCACTTGCACAAAGCGATCTTAGCGCTAAGATGATCGTAACTCCCATACTTCAGCATAGGCTTACAATAGTCTTAGCGCTAAGATCGCTTTGTGCAAGTGGGCCCAGGTTTGAACATGTGCAGTAATAAAGCATACAAGAACGTGCGGAATAACAATTGAATAATTGTTGATTTCTGCGTAAAACAATATTAAATTGTCAATTCAAAATATAACTTATCCATCATTCTGTCATTTCTCATCCATTCTTTTATTCGGGTTTTCCTATTTCAACATATATTTTGTTCCGGTATAAAAAGAACATCCATTCTCATATTAATAATAATATCATCCTGATTCGCACCATACCTTTTCCATTACAAAATATTACTTGACCATCTACATTACCGTACCTAACCCATTTCAGTATTTTATTTGATCCACTACATCAGAACATTGTTGGTATTACAATAATAGACCGATTCTGTTTTTGTTATCAAATATGCCTACATTAACCTAACTCATCAGAATACTAACTAAATTCTGTCCATAACATCATCTGTATCTTATACTTATTACTAGTTCTGTCATATCATATTACCTATCCAAATAAAATAATTGTTCACATCATCATATGTATCTCAATTACAATAATTACCAGATTGTATATATCGTCATACCTTTATACTACATGTGCTACTTTATATCAGAACGTCTTTCCCATTACGGGGGCATGGGTGGCCCAGTCGTCTAAGGCGCCGCGATTCACTGTGCAGAGTTGCGTCCCTTGGGAACGCCAGAAAGCTATGATTGTGGGTTCGAATCCCATGTTTCTAGGTTTGTCAGCACCATACCCGTGCTCGTGGGTTTCACCGAAGTGGTAAACGTCTGAGACCTGCATCACTTCGGGCGTTCCTCACACATTAAGCTGACACGCCGTGATATAACCGGAACACTGTTAAAAGCGGCGTTAAACCCAACTCACTCACTCTTTTTCTCATTACAGTGTTCAATCTCATGCAGCTTTATGTTGGCAAACCTTCACCATGACAATGTCGTACCTTGTCCTTTGAGAGTGTCACCAAGACCAGCTTGAGCTATCAGGCTTGATAGCTGTGTGGTATTCTGGTTTGCCCCTAAATCATCCACCAAATTTGTCATGCAATGTGCAACACTTGCCACAAGCACCAACACAGCGATTCGCAGCATCTTGACGAAGGTGCCTAAAGTTACAGCAACTGATAAAAAGAGACGACCGGCTATGAAATTTCGCCAAAGCAAAAGGGCTTGTACGTTTTCTAGAGATAGAGTTATATAACCTACTTATTACTGCGCATGCGTATCACTGACCACAACTATTTGTGTAACGACATTCGCAGAGTTCACTAACGTGTTGGGTCACACGATAATCTACATCTGACACCAAATGTTGAGTCTCAGGAATAAATCTTAATTTGTCCTGAGTCGACACGTTTCCACACAAAGTTGAATGTATTTCTAGACACATACGTAGGTAGCATTACAAAGCACAAATGCTATAAAAAAATGAATGCTTTTAGAAAAATTGTAAATTTTCTTTGAAAACTTGAACACCGAACAAGACAAAAAGTGAGCAGGGCTCACTAGTATCCCCGACTCCAATCCAACATATTTCTAAGTTCAAAACATGAAAAAAAAAAAAAAAATCTCAGAAAATCCACTTATCGAAATCAAACTTTGCAAAGTCACGGCAAAAAGGCCACACATGCCTGATAATTGTGAATGAATGTGATAATCACCACACTGTTTTAAAACGTTCTTTAAACGTTCACAAGGGCCACTCAAATTCCTGTGGATGGCAAATACTAGAATACAATGCAGATTCCACCTTCAATGAATGCTTCTTGAATTGTTGAATCTTGAATAAGTCTATTTGGAAGAATTTGCATTCAGAATCAATTTGACAACTGAATATATATAACAGCTATATAATTTGTTTACCGAAAATAGATAAACAACCTGGGATGTGTTCGCTGTCACTTCCATAAAATACATGGTAATCACCAATAGTTGAGGACCTTTGGTAATGGCATGGTAAAGTTGGCAGCTGTCAACAGTAAGATATATTCACTCATACCACATAGCCACTACATGACTTAATATGACCTGAAATAGGAACAATACTCAGACGAGGTAATGACTGCGTACTTGTCTATAGGTTAATAAAATGGTTATTTCGGAGTCCCGCCCTAAGGACTAAAGCGAGAGAGGGTGGCAACATCACCGCTAGATCATGACATCCTGTAAAGAGTCAAACCGCGCAAGAACCGCAAAGCGATCGTAGCTCGACGAATGCCGTAACTCTATGTTAAAGTGTGGAAGTTGTGATCACCTAAAGCTGCAGTCACACAGACAATGCGACCCCGATGCAACCTCTTGGCGACTGACTTCTTTTGCGACCGACTGGCAATCGCTGAGAACGATGCAACTACTTTTGCCCATATTTGGAATAAGGGTATGATCGCCGATCAATCAGCGTGAGTTTTGCAACTTGTCTGATTGATCGGCAACTGTTTACCGCAGATACGACGAAATGTTTGCAACTGGTTGAGACCGATCGGTGACTAGTCAGCGAATATTCGGTGACTTGTTGCAACTGAACGGGGACTGATCGGTGACTAGTTGTCGATCGATCACCGATCAAAACATAATGCATATAAAAAGGGTGCTTTTCTTAATAAAATCATTTCTTTGCAAGTTGTCACCGATGAAGCGCCGGTCGATCACCGCCTCATCACTGATCTATCACCGATGGGTCGCCACTAGGTTGCAAAGACGAAAGTAGACGAAACCGATCGCCGCAGGGGGAAACCAATCTGGATTAAAATAACACCACTTGGGGACCTCTGGGAGACCAATGAAACCTCCGAGCGACCAAATCGGTCGCATCCAGTCTTTTGTGCATGTTCAAAAGACTGGTTGCGACCGAATGGGTTTTGCGACCGCTCTGAAACCTTGTAGCGACCTCAGTGAAACCTTTCAGAGACCCCTGAAACCTCATTGAGATTGTCGAATATTTTGGTCGCAAGGAGGTTGCATCGCGGTCGCATTGTCTTTGTGACTGAGGCTTAAGCTCGCTGGTCATACGTTTAGCAACCATCGCCGTTCTATGCAGCTGTCGGGAGACATGCATGAGATGACCGGGATAGACTCGATCTATCGACGTAGATTGGTTGGTTGGTTTGTTGTTTAACGCCGCACTCAGCAATATTCCAGCTAAATGACGGCAGTCTGTAAATAATCGAGTCTGGACCAGACAATCCAGTGACTGATATCATGAGCATCGATCTACACAATTTGGATCGATGACCGTGCATCAACCAAATCAGCGAGCCTGACCACCCGATCCCGTTAGTCGCCTTTTGCGACAAGCATAGTCGCCTTTTACGGCAATCATAGTTTGCTGAAGACCTATTCTACCCTGGATCTTCACGGGCTATTGACGTAGAATATCCCGTGTGTTACGGTGATACACAAATATGGAATAAAGTTTCGTATATTGCGTGTATTGTCATCAGTACTCTGGCTGCCAAACACGAAGCGTTTGTACTTGTTTGACCGATAATGCCTCAAGTTGCTCACACTGACATGGTCTCAAGTAGCATAACAATTATACGTAAGCATCACTACATTAATTGTTTGATCAAAGAACTTCCTATAAGTGACATGTCAAATATTGTCACATATGCCAGGACGCTGAGAAAGAAATCTGACAAAACGTAAGCTTCATTGGATATCGATGATCTGATATCGTTCATAAACGTCCAAGACCTGCATCCCTTTCCTCCCACATCACGCTGACACGCCGTGTTATAACTGATGGCGTTAAACCATCTCATTTACTCAAAGTACATGTATTAAAAGCATTGGATTTAACGGGCTCTGCTCAAAGATATCTTACGATAATTGTCGCTTGGGGTATTAGGGTATTGCCGCTTTAATTGAGATTATATTTATCAAGATCCAACCATGGTAACGGTTTCTAAGTTTTTCAGAAGCCATTTTAAGGTTTGTAAGGGGGTTGTCAGGTAAAGGCACGTGTACGTGAACTACAAAGTTAGCAATCTTTAGAATTCCTACAGACACAATAGAGCCATATAACAATCGCGTCTGACTTTGGAATTGGTTGGAACCATTCGTGAAACCGATTGACAAATCAGGTTTCAATTTCATCTTTTTACAAAAATAGGATTGAAACCTCAACCCCTAACTTCTTATGTGCACTTCTACACAGGACAGGGACGTTGTTTGCAGCGTCAGGATGCCGTGTAAAGTCGTACATCAATTATTCATTAAATCTACATTCCATGTTTACAATTAGTTCCCCAAGAGCAAGGTAGCCGAAACGTTACATTGATTCCAAACCTTCTGTCTAATTCTTTCAATCTATTGATGCATTGATACAACAAGAAAAGTTGCACCTGGCCTATACTCTACTATTTGCATTGTGGCTCTGTATAATTTTACATGTACATTTTCATCCTCATTGCAACTCAGGAAACTCCTTCTAATCGTACATCTAAGACTTCTCAAATGAAGAGATTATTTTGAACTTTCCAAAGATGAATAAATAAAAGTACATATTTCAGTAATTCAAATGTATTAACTTTTATATTTCTGTATTTCTTTTTGATTTTGTAAAACGAAGTAAAGGTGAATAATTATGTTTATAAAACCCGAGGAATAAATCTTATTTAACAACTTGTAACTGATGCTTTCATGACTGTGAATTAAATATTTTCGACTTGAGATATTTGAGTAAATTCTACCACCACTGAACCCCAGTCATACTCACAATGTAAGTCAAGTATATGATACTATCGGTTTATAGGGGGTGAAGGGTGGCCAAATCGTCCAAGGCGTCCCAAGGATCTGTGCAAAGATGCGCCCCTTAGACGTACCAGGCATCTCTGATCCATGACATCTGTGGTTGCGTATCCCAGTCTAGCCCTAACTCTGTATTTTGTTAGCACCATAACTTGATCGTGGATTTTACCAAGGTGGTAAACGTCCAAGACCTGCATAACTTTCACACGCCAGGTTATAACTGATGGCTTTAAGCCGCCTCATTTAGTCAATGTAATGTATTAGTGAGTGAGTGAGTTGGGTTTAACGCCGCTTTTAACAGTATTCCAGTTATATCGCGGCGTGTCAGCTTAATGTGGGAGGAAAGCCCGAAGTGATGCAGGTCTCAGACGTTTACTACTTCGGTGAAACCCACGAGCACGGGTATGGTGCTGACAAACCTAGAAACATAATTAGGGCGAACCTGGATTCGAACCCAAAATCATAGGTTTCTGGCGTACCCAAGGGACGCAACTCTGCACAGCGAGTCGCGGCGCCTTAGACGACTGGGCCACCCGTGCCCCCATGTAATGTATTAACAGCATTGGACTTTCTCGGTAATATAGTTTCACAATAGATCCAATACTGAGTTTGATACACTCTTTTACTTACTTCGTAGCGGTTCTGTGACAAGTTACACGTCTACTTAAACCGTCCTGTGTGTTAGCCTAGTAAAACGTTCGCTCGTCACGTAGAAGGTCTGGGTTCGATTCCCCATATGTGAAGCCATTTCCGGCATCCATCGCAATGGTATTGTTAGAATAGTGCTAAAAGAACCGTAAAACAATACTCACTCTACAAACACACAAAGAAGTGATGAATTGTATGTAGGAATGTCCAGAGAGGGAATATTGATATTCTTTGTGTGCGTTTCGTGTCTAGGATGAGGGATATAACAAATGCATTTTTTTCAATATCTTTTCGAAATGAAAGAGTAGTGCAACCCTATTTTGTTTCGGAGAATATGTCCAATCGAAGGGGTCAGACGCTAATCAATATGACCTTGAGGTAACCTTTGATAAGAAGTCTAAATGTTGGGAATCACATGACCGCAACAGCGACCTAATAGCTGCTTCACCCGAGGGGACCACTCCTTCTTGCTTTTCTTCAACAGTAGACTGGGAAGAGAGGTGACGCCGATCATAGACAACAAAATGCACGCTTTGGTAATTCTGTGTTCGCTGGTGGTGGCAACATCGGCACAGGGCTCTACACCCAACATCGTCGACTACCTGACGTCAAGGCGTTACACCCAAATTGTCAGCCTTCTGAAAACGGCCGGGCTCACTGACACTCTGAAAGGAGATGGTAAGTTCATGGATGGGCACGACGTAATTATAGTGACTTTTATTGCCTGATTCCTGGTTGAGTGAGTGAGTGAGTGAGTGAGTGAGTGAGTGAGTAGTGTTTAACGCCGCTTTTTACTGTAATCCAGTTATATCACGGCGTGTCAACTTAATGTGGGAGGAAAGCCACTGTGATGCAGGTCTTAGACGTTTACCAGTCCGATGAAACCGCCGAGCACGGGTATTGGGTTCCTGGTTGAAATAGAGTGAGTGACTGAATGTGGTTTTATGCCGCTTGTAGCAGTATTCCAGCAATGTCACGACACCATGCATTATACCCAGGAAATAGACGAGGACATCGCTATCAAGTTGCGTTTTTCTCATCACCTGTTGCCTGTAAATTCCTCTTGCGCTCTTTTTCGTAGGGTATGTTCGTAGTGTGTTCGTTCGTGTGAGTGAGTATAGTTTTACGCCGCTTTTAGCAATATTCCAGCAATATCACGGCGGGGGACACCGGAAATGGGCTTCACACATTGTACCCATGTCGGGAATCGAACCCGGGGCTTCTGCGTTACGAGCGAACGCTTCAACAACTAGGCTACCCGACCACCCCGTGTTTGTTCGAGCAGGATGTCGTTTCCGGAGCAGATCCTGAAATCCGCATAATTCTTTTTCACCAAACTTGGCAAATATATAGGTCAAGTGGTGAACTGGTGCCTTTTGATAGTTTGGGATTTATTAAAACACATAAGTTTCAATGGCAATGACTTGACTGAGGCTAAAATGGGAATAGTGCGACAAGATAAAGATCACAAACCCAATTTACATTAAAAATGATCACTTATTAATTAAATCAGAGCAAATACACAAAAAGCTGATTAGCTAACAACTGCACAACAGTAATAACAGGAGAGTAGCTAAATATATCTTTGACATTATATTTGACAAGATGCAGTAAAGTGCGACATTCAGTTACATCGGATGCAACTAGTTAACACCCGAGAGATAATTAACTCAGTGTGAATGGGAAGGAAAATTCAAAACTTTTGCCGAGGATATAAGGTACTTATCTAAGGTACTACGGAATCTGTAAGCTCACAATCATTGCTTGATCAAAAGAATAACTTGACACCCAGTAGTAAATTGGTACTTGACCTAAACTAGACAACCACGGATTACAAAAAAAACCCCGGAGTATATGAAAAACTCTAGCTGATATGTTTACCTCAATACGACCAGAGTAAGTCAGTACTAGATTCCAAACTGCCCCGTAATCACTCACGAACGAACTTTCGAATGACCACCCAGTAGCAAGGCGTCTCGTAAACAATGTAGCGGAACCTGGTGGGAAAGACGCATGACTTTGATCAAGGTTTTACCCCGTGTGAACTTTAAAAGTAAATTTTCCCGTGTCCATGGCAACGACTTTGACATGGACTGAAAAAGGGGACAGTGGTCATTTCCGGTTCTTGAACAATTTACAATATTTTTTTCCCAAACGTGGAACATGGATAGTTTAGTGGTGAAATGGTGTCATGTGATAGTGTGGGACTTTTTAAACACATATGTTTCGAGTTTCCATGGTAACAAGCTTCCTGTAATTATTCGCGACAAGTATCCAACTTTTGGGGAATATCGATGACAGCGTTCTCTTGTTTGATTCTCACAGGTCCCTTCACCGTGTTCGCACCAAGCGACAGAGCCTTCCGTAACCTCGACGCCGCCGTCCTCGGTAGCCTCCAGAACGACACTGCCAAGCTTGCAGCTGTACTGAAGTATCATGTCGTCAGCGGCATCCACAAGGCTGCCGACATCAACTACAACGAACTTCAGCTAGATTCTCTCCAGGGCTCAAAAATCAGAATGAACCATTATTTGTCAGTCGGCGTAAGTGCTGCAAATAACTCGAATTCGCCTTACGGCTAAAGTGCTTCATTGGTGTTGTAATACATATTCCATTAACTATCAGACCTACCGGTCTTAGATTTTGAGAAACTGATGTGTTGAGTGCACATAAGTATTATTTTCTTTGAATTTTCTAAAATAAACTGCAACTTGACTCTACTAGAAAGAAAGATCAATAAATGGTATAGTATGAATTTCCTAATTGTCAGAAAGATGTTTTGATGGTTATTTGAGCTTTTTGTAGAACAAAACATGTGATAATTACCCCTTGCCGTAAATTGAATACCCATTTCCATAACTTGAATACACATAGCTAAAACTTAGATACCCATTGCCACAACTTGAAAACCCATTGCCACAACTTGAATACCCATTGCCACAACTTAAATACCCATTGCCATGAATTGAATACCCATTGCCACAACTTGAATACCCATTGCCATAACTTGAATATCCATTGCCACAACTTGAATACCCATTGCCACAACTTGAATATCCATTGCCACAACTTAAATACCCATTGCCATAAGTTGAATACCCATTGACACAACTTGAATACCCATTGCCACAACTAAAATATAACTAGCATCAACAATCGGAATGAAAGCAAAAGATACATATAACTAGTCCCAGTTTTTTTAAATGTTCATAACATGATGATAGAAAAAGGAACGTCATGAAGAATATAACTTAAAATCCCATAATATTGTTCATTTTGTGACATATGAGTAGAAAATGAACTTAAAAAACTGAAATTCAACGATTAACGCAAACGATATGCGCGCACCTGAAAATCTGGCATCTGATCCAAGGACCCGTATCTTCATGAGCTTTATTTGTTTACATGTCCAAATCGATATTGAAGTGAGAAATGAATGAGACTTATGATGTCACTTAAAGTCGTATCAAAGCAGTTGTTGTTAGTTTGTAAACGTCCTTCTTGCGCTTTGCACACTTTACATTTATAGGCCTGTGGTTTCTCACACTGATTATACATGATTTCTCTCACACGTACATGTTTTTTTGTTTTTTGTTTGTTGTTTAACGCCGCACTCAGCAATATTCCAGCTATATGACGTCGGTCTGTAAATAATCGAGTCTGGACCAGACAATCCAGTGATTGATAACATGAACATCGATCCACGCAATTGAGATCGATGCCATGCATCAACCAAGTCAGCGAGCCTGACCACCCGATCCCGTTAGTCGCCTTTTACGACAAGCATAGTCGCCTTTTACGGCAAGCATGGGTTGCTGAAGACCTATCTTCACACACGTACATGTAACCTGTAAAGAGGACGTATTACAGATAATCATATGTGAAGGTGGCGTTTTTCTCTAATATCACAATACCCCTGAGCTCCTGCCTACGCGTTGTAAATCCCTTGTAAAATTCCCTCTATTACATAACTCAATGCATAGTCCAGGAAAGAATATGTTCATTTTAAACTGAGATTAATGTTGAATATTCTGATTGGAATATTCTGATTAGTATAAAAATGTAATCCTTAAATGATTGTTATTTTTTCACTCTCATTTTTATCAAAAAAAGCATGACTTCAAAAATGTAAATGAATTGTCTAACTACGGTTGATGCTCCTGGTCTGTAAAAGGACCCAATATGAAATGTTTGTAATTCCAGGGCCTGACTGCAGAGGGACAACGCATCATCTCCCCTGACCATGTCGTGAGCAACGGTGTTGTTCACCTCATGAATGGAGTCATGATGCCGCCATCTGGAACCGTTGTCGACATCGTCAGCAACGACGGGGAGCTCACCACCCTCCTGGCCGCAGTCCAGAAAGCCGGCCTCACCAACTTCCTCCAAGGTACATGTATGGGGTGGCGGGGTAGCCTAGTGGTTAAAGCGTTCGCTCGTCACGCCGAAAGTCCGGGTTCGATTCCCCACATGGGTACAATGTATGAAGCCCATTGCTGGTGTCCCTCCCCGCGATATTGCTGAAATATTGCTGAAATATTGCTGAAATGTGTTGGAGGGGTTCATTTACATAACATTCTGGATTGCGTAGCAGTGATGGTCGAGAATATCACGGCTTGGAAAACAAGAGCGGGATCTAAATACTAGTAAACCAAATTTGAAATAGGACGTAGCTTTCGGCTTGACGAGACCGCTGTAACCACTTATCTACTCCAGCACTCGTTTATGATTGTAGAAACACAAGAGTCTGACAATACACCATTTCCCCAAGTAACAATACTGGTACATAATTTCCTCCGTGGCTTATAATTATCTGGTGGCTCAAAGTATGGTGTGTGCGTTTGTATGAGGCAATTAGCTGGTTCTGGAAGGTGAACGCAATGACAAAACGTGTCAGTTTGATGTTGGAGGATATACCGTTATCCAGGTTCTAGACGTCTACAATTTTGTAAATCCCACGACGAATGAATCTATAATCATAATATGGGATTCAAACCGAAAATCAAATCAAAGAGCGTTTACGCATCATATATCCCATTGGAGTAAGCAAGGCAAAGCATATTTTCAAAGATGAACGTTTTGTCATTGAAGTTATAGTTTCTGCCAATCAGCATTGCATGGGTGAAAGAACAACCATCTTTTGTGTTTTCAGACCAGCACCCAATCACTGTGTTTGCTCCTACTGACAAAGCTTTTGCTGACCTGGGATCCGACGTCGTCGGAGCCCTCATCAACAACCCAACTCTCCTCACCAGTAAGTTCAACAGTGTGTTGTAATGATTTACACTACTGATATTTTATTATTTTACTGAGCAAAGAAAGTCATGCAACATTTATGATTAGTGATTAACTCTTTAGTAAGTATTGTACGGTGGCCCATAAGGGACATTGAGTCGGGTTTTCAATATTTTGATATTTCACTTACTTTTATCGTAACCTTTTGAAAATTAACACAATTTGTCATGCAAATATGTGATAAATCATGTATAAAAACAACCGAAAACATGGAAAATGTACTTTCAAGTAGCTATTGAATCGCTGAAATGTGAAGCGAAAATGTCAAAAACTAAAATGAAAATGTCAAAAACAAAAGTGAAAATGTCAAAATCTAAAATGAAAATACAGAAAACTATTTTCATTTTAACTTTTGACATTTTCGCTTCACTTTTCAGCGATTCAATATCTTCTTTATACATGATTTATCACATATTTGTATGACAAATCGTGTTAATGTGCAAAAGGTTTACGATAAGAGTAAGTGAAATATCAAAATATTGAAAAACAGACTCCATGTCCCTTATGGGCCACCGTAGTATAGCTATTGTCTGGAGTAATTGTCACTGATAATAACTGGGTGATACTTGTCATCATCTGATCTTCAGTTGCAGCAGGAGACAGGAAACAATTATATCAGTAACTATTTAAGGAGCAACCAATTAATTTAATGTTGGGATTTCAGTTTGAGATCAGCATATGTTCGGAAGCTCAATAACCTTTTTCTAACATCAATAGTTGTTCATTGGTATGTTTTGGTAAAATAAATATAAGTTAAAGAACTGTATTGGACACTTTTTATACACTGCAAAAAAGGAGTATTATTTTGTTCCTACAATGCTTTGCACTTGTAAGTTCTTTTCAGAAAGAACAGGTGCTTGTTCTTTTTTTAAAAAAAAATGCTTTGCCACTAAAGTCTATGAGTTGCGTTTTTCTTGCTGTAATTCACTTCTCACACAGAATGATTTGTAAAAACGTACATGTGTCATAAACCTGCGTAAGGGTTTCTTGACATATATATCTAATGATACTATGTTATGTAACCTGTCAACATATGTTTATCACGCGATGTCAAATAGAAACGGAATTGTTAGTTAACAACCACGTCACCTACATGTAAATACGCATTGTACTATAGGCTTGTGGCCTTTTAAGTACTGAATAAAACTGATTGACAGTGATGACATATATATATATATATATATATATATATATATATATATATATATATATATATATATATATATATATGTCCAGGGTTTCTTACGCAGGTTTAGTGCACATGTACGATTTACAAATCATCGTTTTTATATACATTGATCGAAAAGTTTTAACATCAGGTTATTGTATATTTCATCAGTTATTGTATTACTATGTGTGCCCACAGTGTTTCTCGTCGTCCACAGGTATCCTTAAGTACCACGTTATTCCTGGGACTCTGTACAAGGCTGGGTACCACTCAACATCTCTTGATACCTTTGAGGAGGCCGACAGAATCAGGCTCCACCGCTTCATTTGTACGTGTTATCATTTGTCTTGATATTTATTAGTATCTGATACATTTGATTATTGTTATTCAATTTATTCCAGATATGGCTGATATACTGTGAATGTGACCATACAGTTTAATTCATTCATTCACTATTGTTCCATGATTCATTATAAGCTTCAAATTTCTCAGCATCTCTGTCAATAGTTTAGTAGGATATATTGGACTAGTGGGGTTTAACAAACGCATGTCATGTTCATTCTGAAATCCTCATAATCACCTTGATGATTAAGTCACCACGAAAAAGCCAGCTATTGCATTGTTTGAGTCTCGAAAGGGCCCTGTATATTTATGGTATATATATTTAAAAAACATTATTAAATTTCAAAAGGGTTAATGAAAAATACGCCTTTGAAATCTATCGCTTTCTTCTTTCTGGTCGTGATATAGTTCATCGAATACACGACATCGGCATTCAAAGGGCCCTGTATATTTACAGTATATATATCTAAAAATCACATTATCAAATTTCAAAAGGATTAATGAAAAACACGCCTTTGAAATCTATCGCTTTCTTCTTTCTGGTCGTGATATAGTTCATCGAATACACGACATCGGCATTCAGACCTGTTGCAGCGTTAGAATTTGGCAGTAGGCCATGCTAAACTGGCCAATAGTTATCCTAGTGAAACTATTATTTTTTAAACTTATCCTATCCCACAATATGCATCTCTCTTTCTTCTTCGATCCTATGTGGGAAACGTGCTAATAGAAAGGTTTCAAGCCACTAAAAAACACCCCTCGCATCACCAATGTCACCTCCAAACAATCTGGGTCACGCACACTCTGTATGCATGTTGACCTGTACACACTAGTCACGTGATTTCCCCAACCAATTCATTGTCGTTCCAATGTGGTGATGTGCTACACAGATCAGGGCTTGTTTATTGTTATAAATAAATTTCAAGCCCTTCGGTGTTTCTTTCGCGGTCTAATCATGGACGTTCGAAAGTATTCGCGACTGTTGCGGATCCTGCGGACCCTAGTACTGCTACTTCGGCCTCGGTCATTTTGCCTTCGACGAACCTTTTGGAGGTTCGGAATACTTCTCCGTGACCTTCCACTTAGACGATCGATAACTCAGTTACCATTGGCGGAGGGTACTTCCAGGCAATGGCTAAGGTGGATCCCTTAATATCCGAGTCGATTTTACCTCGAGTTACTCCGGCAGACTCCGATCGGCGTCTTCCCCTCGCGTCTCATCTCATGAGAGACCTTCTCTAGATGAGTCGCGATTCATCCTCGGACCAACACATCTCTAAGGTTCGTCGAACCTCTAAAGATCGGCGAACGTCTTCTGATCACCATGCTTCATGCACTCAGCCTTCCAGTGAACCCCGGAAGATGAACGAACATCATAGGATCGTTGAAACTCTCGGCGAACCTCGAAGGATCGGCTAACATCACTTCACAGGATCTACGCACTTCACAGGATTACTTTGTTTAGTCTCACCATATGGCTCCAAAGGTTCGTCGAACCTATAGTGTACGATACTCATCTAAGAATCGCAGATCGGGATGTGGATCCTCCTCTCATCGTCGCTCAAGCGGGGTCTCATTTGGCTCCTTCTTCATCCGGACTGGCTTCATCATCCGGACTCTCACCATCGGGATCTGTCACCTTCCTACACCTACCATCACCAGTGCCGTGAACTATCTTGGAACCCGACTTCGTGTCCTGCGTATACTCATATGACACATGATTGGGATTGCTACCTTCAGTCCATGGACCCTTTTCCCCGAAACGATACACGAGAAAGAGCTTCTCGATCGCATCTTCGTCTTGAGGAGGCTTGCTTTCGTGGGGAAATTGACCGATTCAAGACAAGATGTTGGGCATCTTAGATCTCCCGGCTCATCGTCGCAGGCTCCTTCAACACTGTTCATGGGATGCGTCTGTGGGAGATAAGATACCACGATCTTGAAGAATTGGTCGGCTGGATTAAACATCGATTCAATTGTATTCGTTTTGTTTAACTTTACGGTTACGCTACTATGGAATACTGTAAGGGACATTCTCGCGATCTCGACCTTCGGAAACGAGCTAAATATGCCAAAAACACGAGAATTCTCGTGTTTTGGGTATATTTAGCGCGTTTCGAAAGGTCGAGATCGCGAGAATGCGAGATCGCGAGAATGTCCCTTACAGTATTCCATACGTTACCCTTCGTTAAAAACATGATTTACATACATGTATAAGTACACGACGTATTTTTTTTTCCTCTGTTCACGCCTTAGGATCACAGCACTTCTCTGTAGGCTAGGGAGTTGCGCCCCACCTTCCAACCGTGAAATACATTGGCAGTGTGAGATATGCTAAGTTTAAAAATTTGTAAATTGTACATTAAATTATATATTTATATACTTGTCCTATCTCACACTTTGTATGCCCACCCGTCCATACCAAGATCTCAATTTCCTTAGCCTAAAAAGCTAAGAAAGAGAATGATTTGGCTGGGAAAATCACGTGGCTAGAGTGTATAGGCAACATACATACAGAGTGTGCTTGACCCAGATTGTTGGGAGGTGACCATGGTGATGCGAGGGGTGTTCGGGCGATTTTTTTCAAAAGCTTGAAACCTTTGTTTTAGCACGTTTTCACTTAGGATCGAAGAGGAGAGATAGATGCAAAGTGTATTGCTGATTTATGTGACTTGTGTCATAATAATGTATACTAAACAGTTGATACAAAAATAACTTTCTTTCTACCATACAGCATTAATCTGATTGATATAACCTTCAAGTGATACCAACCATCTGACATATACCATGTTGTATTGTGACTCTGCAGCCAACTACATTTTATACATAATCATATTCTCCAACAGGTTTGATTTCCATTTTCAACAACGATGAATGCAATTTGATTATCCATTCCAGTCAGTTACGAGGTTGACGATGGCACCCTCGACAAAGTTGAGCTGAGTGCCCTCAATGGCGTTGTCCACAAGATCGATAAAGTGCTGATCCCAAGTTCCCTGTCAGACCAAGTCAAAGCTCTCACTGCTGGTGCCACAACAGCTACCCCCTAAACCGCCAAGAAAATTCCTGTAACTGTTGCTTTATTAAAGATATCAATAAAGTGTTCTTCAAGTAGATTAGTATTTATTTCAAGAGGATCCTTGTTACCATATGCATGACGGACAGCTTAACATCCCTGGCATCAAGGGCGAGCACCACAAAACACAATGCGAAAATACTGATAATGACATTTTGTTTTCAGTGTAACAACTACTTATTAAAACAAATCGCGAATCGTAAATCCTGAGCATATGATGATTCAGCATCTTTACCTCCAAGCGTTACCTTGTTCAAAACATGCTCTTTTGTAACATTGTTGCCTTTAATATTAGTTATCGGGGCGGTCGGGTGGCCTAGTGGTTAAAGCGTTCGCTCATCACGCGAGACCCGGGTTCGATCCCGACATGGGTACAATGTGTGAAGCTCGTTTCTGGTGTCCCCCGCCGTAATATTGCAGGAATATTGCTAAAAGCGGCGTAAAACCATACTCACTCATTCACTTATTAGTTATCACTAAGGACACCGCGATTCAGCATTTGTTTGCCATAATTGGCCAACACTTAGAAATCTATGATTTCGATCATATTTACCTGTATATTCTCTAAGACAAAATACACTTATTAAGCATAATTTTCCTTTTCTAAGAATATAATGATTTTTATGAAAGCTGATTCGGAGAATGTACATGCTGGGAGGAACATGTGACTAAAACCATGGATAGATATTAACGTTCACGTCAATATCTAGACCTCGTTATCTGACACATGCTAAACTTAGGGTGTGGAACAAAGAAACACCATATGGATGAGAAAGTTCTGAAAGTTGAAATAACAGTTTTACACTTAAAATAGAAAGGACCAATGATTTGATACTTTTTGAGGGCCTGGGATTTTGTAAGGAGACAAGATATTTTTCATCTACAGCAGCAAAAGCAGATATTTAATGAATTAAAAATATGAGACTATATATTTTTCTAAAAAATAGTAAGTGTAACAATTTCTAAACTTTTTCCAATAAAATCCCATCATGAAAACCCGGAGTGAGGCAGGTCTGAGACGTTTATTATGTTGGTGAAACCCACGAACGCAAGTATGATAATGACAACCCAATTACCCAAATCAAGGCGAATCTGGAATTCGAACCCACGGTCATAGGATCATGACGCGCCTAAGGGATGTAACTCTGAACAGCCAATTGCGATGTCTGTTCCCAAGTAAAGGGTGGTGCCAGTAAACATCAGCAGCTTCACTGTATCGAGAATCGGATGAAGGGACACTACTCTCTCGTGTTGTGAATGGGCGGTCGGGTAGCCTAGTGGTTAAAACGTTCGCTCGTCATGCAGAAGGTCCGGGTTCGATTCTCCTCATGGGTACAATGTGTGAAGCCCATTTGTGGTGTTCCCCCGCCGTGATCTTGCTGGAATATTGCTAAACGCGGCGTAAAACCATACTCACTCACTCGTCTTGATAAAGGTTACGGAATGGCTATCATTAATTTGATCCACTGATATGTCTCTGTGTCCATTGGTTTATTAGAATGTATGACGTCAGATTACTTAAATGTGAACTATTATAATCACATCGCGCTATTCTTCTGCAGTTGAGGGGCGGTCGGGTAGCTTAGTGGTTAAAGCGTTCGCTCGTCACGCCGAAGACCCGGGTTCGATTCCCGACATGGGTACACTGTGTGAAGCCCATTTCTGGTGTACCCCGCCGTGATATTGCTGGAATATTGCTAAAAGCGGCGTAAAACCATACTCACTCACTCACTCAATTCTGCAGTTGATTCTTTGTCAGGAAGTACAACTGACACATCTGTTGGTCATTATGCAACAGTATAGAGAAATTATGTTTCAACCATAACACGGTTAAAGCCAGAGAAATCGCTCCAATCTGTCGATTCTAGAAGTAGGATTTCCCTATTACAAAACATGGATGTAGAAAATTCTTACGTAACCAGTGGTTTAATTGGATATGACGCTGTTGATGGGCATTGTTATATTTTATCATAAGAAATCCATTGAATCCATTGAATCCATGTGTATCCACCACTACAGTAAGATACCATTCCTCAGAGAATCGCTAAACTGACCACGCAAGTCTTTATCTTTTAAAACCGACTATTGTGAGGTCATTAAAAAACTAACGTAATGAATTTAGTTTCTAGATAAGAATAAAATGCTGTGCTGTTATGTGCTATCGAAATGAATTTGTATGAGTGAATATTAATATCATGTACAGACTATTGATGTACCTAACAGAAAACACAGCGAAAGATTATGTATATGTTACAGAATGTTTTAATGAGAGGCGGAGAAAATATCGATTCAAATTTAAATAAGTTCTAATTCATAATTTGTTTGTATTCGGGTAGTAAGTTATAATGATATTAATATCAAAAATTATCACTGTATTCATATCAATAAAATTGTCAATAATTCTTATTAGTGTTCAAAGCGTTCGTTCGTATCGTTGGCGATCAATATTTGAAGACACCTTTAATAAAATAGCAGGAATGGTGACACCAAGTAGAATAATACTCTCTTACTAGTAATCATCTGAATATGAAATGGTTGGACCCCAATGTAGCCTCCGGTTTACACTGAATGTTCGGATGGTCCATCCGAAATGAAAAATACATGAGAAAAGTTTGTCGATTTTCACCTTTTTAATGAACTGCCTTGACACCCAGGACAGAAAGTATCATGTCATATCTTTGCGTTATTATCTCTGTGCAGGTAAATGTATTTGTTCTCAGTTCTTTAAATGTTCGCTCGTCACGTCGAAGGCCTAGGTTCCATTTTCCACGTGGGTACATTTTGTGCTGTCTATTTTACGTGAACACTGAAATCTTATGAAAATTCGAATTTCTTTAACACCATATATATTTTGTGAAAGGTTAAAGTTTAGAAATGTTATCATGGTTATCGGCAACATAGGCACTCGAACGACGGATAGCTCGACATAAATACTATTGTCCCCAGGACCCCAACGAAGTTTTACAGTATCAAGATGTATGTGTGAATAATCCACGTGTACATTCGTGCCAACGTTATGTTTACATCAATATCTACATTCATATGTACATTCACGTGTATATTCATAATTAATGTGTACATTCATATCTGTTCATTCATCTGAGTTGGCACGGTTGGCCCGGTCGTCCGAGGCGCCACAATTCGCTGGGCAGAGTAGCGTCCCTTGGGCACGCCAGAAACCTATGATCGTTTGGTTGAATCCCATTTCGCCCCTATTATGTTTTTCAGCACCACATCCGTGGTCGTGGCTTTTACGAAAGCGCTAAACGTCTTAGGCTTGCATCACTTCGGGATTTCATCTCACATTAAGCTTATATAACTGGAATGCTGTTCAAAGCGGTGTTACAATCAATTCATTCACTTTTCTGAACATTAATGTGTTAAAATCAACTCCCTCACTCATTCATCTGAACATTAATGTGTGTATTCATGTATTAATTTTTATGTACTTTCATGTGTATATCCATCTGCATATTCAAGTGTACATTCATTTGTACATTCATTTGAACATTCATGTGTTTGTTCCTGTGACTATGCCTGTGTAATTACTTGCGTTAATTCCTGTTTACCTGTTTACACTAGATAGTAATACATTCCTGACACCTAATTATTGTTAAAACACGATGCTATTTTCTACTAATAGAAACAATGCAATGAAATTGGAACATTGTTTAAGAGTATAATACACTGCTATATAAAATGTTCATCACTATTTTGCCTTTGACGCCCGATGGGAAATGTTTTAGCAGATATTTGAGCAATTAATCTATGACGTTTACATTTTGAATGTGGTACCTCTCTTGGAGTTACATGTTCGTTGTCCAGACTCCTCTCTAGGCGTTTGCATCACCATGGCGTTAAATAACGACATCTGTTCCAGATCGTAACCCTGGAGGGGCAGGCCATTCAATCATCTAATCACGTGTTGAGTAATGGAGTTGTTCACTTCATCAAGGGCGTGATGATGCCACCGGCGGGGACCGTACTGGACGTCGTCTCAAAAGACGGAAATCTTACCACACTCGCTTCAGCTATTAAGACTGCGATGCTAGACAATTTCTTTCAAGGTAAATATCGACAAGACATTTCACACTGCATAACAATTTAATATGGAACGCCGGTTTACTGGTATTTCAGGCATATCAGGGTGTGCTGATTTTACAACGTGGGTAAAACCCACGGGTAGGAATATGGAATGAAGTTTATTTATGATCATGTAGATCAGATTACAGAAACAGCAATGTACCACTCAATGCACGTCATGTTGGTGTATCCATAAAATATGTTTAGAGGAAACTATTTTCGTAAAGTTGATAAGATTTTTACAATGGTAAAATACAGTTTCACAATTACGACCATCTGTAGAACTGGGCTTCACTGGGACTTCACTGTTCCTGCAGTTTACTCTATGGTTATTGGGTATTGCAGATCAAAAGCCCATCACCCTCTTTGCTCCAACTGACGATGCCTTCAACAAACTCGGAAGTGCAACTGTACAAGGTCTTATCGCCGACCCTATACTTTTGAAAAGTAAGTTCTACTTAAAATTTGAGTGAAAGACATGTTCATTTATAACTTCTTATAAAGATAACTGTGGCTATTTTTGTTGTTTAAAGAAAGGTAATGTCAGACGAAACCAAAGGTGACTTATAGCTCAAGGACACAATGCGTGATCTAAGATATTTCGTTGTTTTAGTTAGAGATGTCAGCAGAGAATATATTTTGGTCACAGAAATAATTTTGCAACCCTTGTCGCAACGTCGTTTCAAGAATAGGAAGAAACACAACTAAATCTGAAGAACAAAGTGTTTTGTGTAAAGTACTTGACTAAGGCCTTGTGGTCCTTTATATATAGGAACTCCCATCCAATCATTACATGGCTTGAAACGTCGCCATATAAGTGCAATAATGTAGGACGCGACGTTAAACCCCAATTCACCTCACCACATGGTTGAAACACAAGCACAAACACAATTCATAAACACGTGCACATATAGTCGGAATCGTACAGTCGACACTACTGTTAGCAGAAATTACATTAAATGTGGCTTTATTTAAGAATTATAATACCATTTTGTTTTATAATTACTTAATATGACATTGACTAGACTACATAAAGTTCACGAAATGCCTTAAAGATATGTGCTGTAATTCTCCTGGAAAGATCTTAATCTTTATGATATTACTTAAGTTGTATATACGTATATGACATCTGTGTCCAGGCGTTCTGCAGTACCACGTGGTCCCAGGGACGATCTACAGGGCAGCGTACCACACCAGCTACCTGCACACCTTTGAGGAGGCCGACCAGATTAGACTACATAGATTCCTCTTTTGTGAGTAGTATGTCTAGGGATCACCTCACTTTTGAGGTGTCCGGTCAGATGAGTTTTAAAAACATGACAGTTTTATATGCGTCACTGTCTGTAGTGATCGCCTCACTTTTGAGGTGTCCGGTCAGACGAGTTTTAACAACATGATTGTTTTACATGCGTTTCTGTCTGTAGTGATCGTCTCACTTTTGAGGTGTCTGGTCAGATGAGTTTTACCAAACATCACTGTTTTACATGCGTTACTGTCTGTAGTGATCTCCTCACTTTTGAGGTGACCCGACAAATAGGGCTATATGATTCCTCAAATCTCTCCTCGCTTTCGATGTTCCGGATGTTTTGATCATGGTCCGAAAGGCTTACCTTACTTTTGAGGCGTCCGACCAGCTAAGGTGAGGTGAGGTGAAATGGGGTTTAACGTCGCGCTCAAGGTTGTTGCACTTCTACAGCGGCGCGCATGCACGTGAGTGTGTGTGTGTGTGTGGCTGTTTGTACAAGTCCGAACGAATGCCGATTTTATAGTGCAAGCCCGCTGAAATACCTTGCCCCAGTTTAACATGAATACCCCACTCAGACACAGAACACTCAAAACCGATCAGTCCTTGTTTTAGCCTCTTAATGTAGGGCGCCAGGCAGGGTATCAACAAGTACCATCGTTTAACGTCTTTTGGATCGAATCCGCGGCCTTACGCTCTCGGTGCGGACGCTCTGCCACTGGAGCACGGAGGCGGTCCCGGCCAGCTCAGGTTATGACAAATGTTATGGACTAAAATGTCAGCCTCACTTTAGAAAGGTCCGACCAGATTAGGTTATATATATTATGTTGAGGTAAGAATGATTCAACTCGCTCTTAATAATTAGGTGTCCGACAAGACTAGACAAGAGTATTTTTTCATAAGGGTCTCCGTCGTGTCTGAGGCTGGAAGGTTTAGATGTAAACGGATGATCATTTGACAAAGTGACGGGAACTGTGTGATAACCTTTAATGAGCTTTCAGATATGAGTCAGTGAGTGAGTTGGGTTTAACGCCGCTTTTAACAGTATTCCAGTTATATCGCGGCGTGTCAGCTTAAAGTGGGAGGAAAGCCCGAAGTGATGTAGGTCTCAGACGTTTACCACTTCGGTGAAACCCACGGGCACGGGTATGGTGCTGACAAACCTAGAAACATAATCGGGGCGAACCGGGATTCGAACCCACAATCATAGGTTTCTGGCGTGCCCATGGGACGCAACTCTGCACAGCGATATATTATGATCAATAATATAAAATGAACTAATGGTAAATAGACAATATGTGCTGTATTAGGAGTGAGTGGTAACCCTCAAATAACACGCTCCAATGCAGGTCACATAGGGTAGATGTATTGTCAAATCATGGTTCATGTTCAACTATATGCGTTCGAATGACCCAATTCTTTCTTTGCCGCTGTAGTTGGGTACGAGGCTGATGATGGCGGTATGGTGGACGATGAGGTGAGTGCCACCAATGGGGTTGTCCAGAAGATTGACGCTGTTCTCATCCCCAGCTCGCTGTCTGACCAGGTCAAGGCTTTGACCGCTGGAGCAACGACAGCAGCTTAAATACATTGTAATTGAGATTGATTAAATCAAACATCATATATCTCAGAGCATAGTCATTTTTCAAAGCATTCTTTCCAATTCAATAATTGGCATGATAATGCACCATGCAGGTATTCTGATCAGAGCGCATGGATGACCAAGTGGTCTATATCACTACAGCTCATTGTGCAGACCGTTTGCCGTTCACGGGCCATCATTGGTCGCACAGGAGTGAGTAAGTGAGTGAGTGAGTGAGTGAGTTTGGTTTAACGCCGCTTTTAACATTATTCCAGTTATATCGCGGCGTGTCAGCTAAATGAGGGAGGAAAGCCCGAAGCGATGCAGGTCTCAGACGTTTACCACTTCGGTGAACCCACGAGCACGGGTATGGTGCTGACAAACCTAGAAACATAATCGGGGCGAACCGGGATTCGAACCCACAATCATAGGTTTCTGGCGTGCACAGCGAATCGCGGCGCCTTTGACGACCTGGCCACCCGTGCCCCCTGATGGTCGCACAGGAACGTAGGAACGTTTCTCAGAGTTTGGGGTGGCGGAAACATATATTTCTGTAGCTCAGTGTGTGTGTGTGTGTGTGTGTGTGTGTGTGTGTGTGTGTGTGTGTGTGTGTGTGTGTGTGTGTGTGTGTGTGTGTGTGTGTGTGTGCGTGCGTGCGTGGGTTTGCGTGCGGGCATGCATATGTGTGTGCATACTCTTGTGTCATTGTCCCGTCATTAATGGCACTCAGTCAGAATCATCACGAGAGACAAGTCAAAACTAAAAGCCCCATTTGATTTATTCTTAGCATATCTACAACAAAATTATACTGATTCTAAATTTGGTTTTGCAGCAAATACTCAGCCTGTATATATGTATGTAAATCTTGGCTAGTGGGTGGTAGGGTTGAGCAAAATATTCCTTGTGAAAATGTGTTGATAAACAATATCGTTTCGAAAATGAAGGGGGCCTGACAGGCCTGTTGCATGCTCTTATCCCAAACAACAACGTTATTATCTGCTGTGTCGCGTCCGGAGGTGTCGGTCGGTCGGGTAGCCTTGTGGTAAAAGCGTTCGCTCGTCACGACGAAGACCCGGGCTCGATTTCCGACATGGGTACAGTGTGTGAAGCCCATTTGTGGTGTCCCCCGCCGTGATATTGCTGGGATATTGCTAAAAGCCAAACCCACGATCACAGGATCATGACGTGCCCAAGGAAGGCAAATCTGCACAGCCAAATCGGACGTATTAGATGACTAATGCACCTTCATGAAGGTTGGTGCCAATAAACATCAGCAACTTCACTGTATTGAGGGGGATACCTCTTCCTCGTACGGTGAGAGGTTCCGAGCTGTTTCCATTTGATCCACTGTCCCTGTGTCCATTGCTTTGTTACAGCTACGGCATTTGTCCGATTACTTAAATTTAAACTATTATGAAGAGGGGGCACGGGTGGCCCAGTCGTCTAAGGCGCCGCGATTCGCTGTGCAGAGTTGCGTCCCTTTGGCACGCCAGAAACCTATGATTGTAGGTTCGAATCCCGGTTCGCCCCAATTACGTTTCTAGATTTGTCAGCACCATACCCGTGCTCGTGGGTTTCACCGAAGTGGTAAACGTCAGAGACCTGCATCACTTCGGGCTTTCCTCCCACATTAAGCTGACACGCCGTGACATAACTGGACTACTGTTAAAGTACTGTTCACTATTATGAAGACGTTATGCTATTGTTCTTGCAGTTGATTTTTAGGACGTTAAACTGACGCAACTATAGGCCATTAAGCAAAACTATAGAGGACTTATGATTCAACCATAACATGTTTAAAGCCAGAGAAATCGCTCCAATCTGATGATTCCAGAAGTTGGATTTCCCTATAACAAAACATGGATGTAGAAAATTCTTACGAAACCAGTTGTTTGGATGCTGTTTGAAGGGAATTCGTTTGTTTTTTATTACCATTCGAAATCCATTGAATCCATGTGTATCAACCATTGCAGTAAGTCAACATTCATCAGATATACGCTAAACTGACCAGAGAAATCACTCCAATCTGTCGATTCTAGAAGTAGGATTTCCCTATTACAAAACATGGATGTAGCAAATTCTTACGAAACCAGTTGTTTAATTGGATATGACGCTGTTGAATGGCATTGTTATATTTTATCATAAGAAATACATTGAATCCATGTGTATCCACCACTACAGTAAGATACCATTCCTCAGAGAATCGCTAAACTGACCACGCAAGTCTTTATCTTTTAAAACCGACTATTGTGAGGTCATTAAAAAACTAACGTAATGAATTTAGTTTCTAGATAAGAATAAAATGCTGTGCTGTTATGTCACGTGATTGTAATCTCAATCTGACTATACACGAACATTCTTGTGAAACCAATCCCTCTTCTTGCAAGTTGGCTCCGTGGTGCTGCTAGAGACAAAATGTATGCTTTGTTAGTTCTTTGCATGCTGGTCGTTACTGCAGCGGCGCAGTCGACAACAGTACCTACATCAAACATCATCGACCACCTGACTACACGACGCCTCACCACCCTCCTGAATCTTATTCAGCAAGCAGGGCTTACTGATACCCTTAAAGGACCTGGTAAGATACAGTAAGGATATCATCTGGATGATTATGAAATCGTCTCTAGGTCTCGGTCAAATATATAGATAATATAAGAAATGGATGCATTTTGGATACATTCAAAAGTATATACAATGCAGTTTTGAAAGCTATTTTGATACGTGGATGAACTTTTCAAAAATGAAATTTCTTACATGAAAAATATGACTGATTCTATAACGGTGAAGTAACGCAACAATCAGACAACAGATTCTAGTTTTCATGAAATTGATAACATATTATTAAGCTTTAATCGAAATGAATATTATGAGTGAATATTAAGACTATTGATGTACCTAACAGAAAACACAGCGAAAGATTATGTATATGTTACAGAATGTTTTAATGAGAGGCGGACAAAATATCGATTCAAATTTAAATCAGTTCTAATTCATAATTTGTTTGTATTCGGGTAGTAAGTTATAATGATATTAATATCCATAATTATCACTGTATTCATATCAATAAAATTGTCAATAATTCTTATTAGTGTTCAAAGCGTTCGTTCGTATCGGTGGCGATCAATATTTGAAGACAACTTTAATAAAATAGCAGGAATGGTTACACCAAGTAGAATAATACTCTCTTACTAGTAATCATTTATGGACCAATGTTCTAACACATTCCTACACAATGGTTGGTCATGTCATATCACATTGACTGTTCACAGGACCATTCACCCTGTTTTCCCCTGACGTGACCTCTCTGGGCAATTTGGATGCAACTGACCCGGCAAAAGTGACCGCCCTTATCAAATACCACGTGGCCAATGGTCAATACCGACGAGCTGATCTGTACAATGAGGAGAGTCTCACTTCCCTCCTGCCCAACCAAAGCATCAGGGTCAACCACTATGTCAGTAAAGGGGTAAGTGCACGTGTTCTATCTATTCGGCTTATTGGTCAGAATATGAAATGGTTGGACCCCAATGTAGCCTCCGGTTTACACTGAATCAACTCCCTCACTCACTCATCTGAACATTAATGTGTTAAAATCAACTCCCTCACTCACTCATCTGAACATTAATGTGTTAAAATCAACTCCCACACTCACTCATCTGAACATTAATGTGTGTATTCATGTATTAATTCCTATGTACTTTCATGTGTATATCCATCTGCATATTCAAGTGTACATTCATTTGAACATTCATTTGAACATTCCTGTGTTTATTCCTGTGACTATGCCTGTGTAATTACTTGCGTTAATTCCTTTTTAATTTACCTGTTTACACTAGATAGTAAATACATTCCTGACAACTAATTATTGTTAAAACACGATGCTATTTTCTACTAGTAGAAACAATGCAATGAAATTGGAACATTGTTTAAGAGTGAGTGAGTGAGTGTGAGTATGGTTTTACGCCGCTTTTAGGAATATTCCAGCAATATCACGGCGCCGACCGCCCCGTTTAAGAGTATAATACACTGACTGCTATATAACACATGCATAAAATGTTCATCACTTTTTTGCCTTTTACGCCCGATGGGAAATGTTTCAGCAGATATTTGAGCGATTAATCTATGACGTTTACATTTTGAATGTGGTACCTCTCTTGGAGTTGCATCACCATGGCGTTAAATAACGACATCTGTTCCAGATCGTAACCCTGGAGGGGAAGGACATTCGATCATCTGAGCAAGAGTTGAGTAATGGAGTTATTCACTTCATCAAGGGCGTGATGATGCCACCGGCGGGGACCGTACTGGACGTCGTCTCAAAAGACGGAAATCTTACCACACTCGCTTCAGCTATTAAGACTGCGATGCTAGACAATTTCTTTCAAGGTAAATATCGACAAGACATTTCACACTGCATAACAATTTAATATGGAACGCCGGTTTACTGGTATTTCAGGCATATCAGGGTGTGCTGATTTTACAACGTGGGTAAAACCCACGGGTAGGAATATGGAATGAAGTTTAGTTATGATCATGTAGATCAGATTACAGAAACAGCAATGTACCACTCAATGCACGTCATGTTGGTGTATCCATAAAATATGTTTAGAGGAAACTATTTTCGTAAAGTTGATAAGATTTTTACAATGGTAAAATACAGTTTCACAATTACGACCATCTGTAGAACTGGGCTTCACTGGGACTTCACTGTTCCTGCAGTTTACTCTATGGTTATTGGGTATTGCAGATCAAAAGCCCATCACCCTCTTTGCTCCAACTGACGATGCCTTCAACAAACTCGGAAGTGCAACTGTACAAGGTCTTATCGCCGACCCTACACTTTTGAAAAGTAAGTTCTGCTTAAAATTTGAGTGAAAGACATGTTCATTTATAACTTCTTATAAAGATAACTGTGGCTATTTATGTTGTTTAAAGTAAGGTAATGTCAGACGAAACCAAAGGTGACTTATAGCTCAAGGACACAATGCGTGATCTAAGATATTTCGTTGTTTTAGTTAGAGATGTCAGCAGAGAATATATTTTGGTCACAGAAATAATTTTGCAACCCTTGTCGCAACGTCGTTTCAAGAATAGGAAGAAACACAACTAAATCTGAAGAACAAAGTGTTTTGTGTAAAGTACTTGACTAAGGCCTTGTGGTCCTTTATATATGGGAACTCCCATCCAATCATTACATGGTTTGAAACGTCGCCATATAAGTGCAATAATGTAGGACGCGACGTTAAACCCCCATTCACCTCACCACATGGTTGAAACACAAGCACAAACACAATTCATAAACACGTGCACATATAGTCGGAATCGTACAGTCGACACTACTGTTAGCAGAAATTACATTAAATGTGGCTTTATTTAAGAATTATAATACCGTTTTGTTTTATAATTACTTAATATGACATTGACTAGACTACATAAAGTTCACGAAATGCCTTAAAGATATGTGCTGTAATTCTCCTGGAAAGGTCTTAATCTTTATGACATTACTTCAGTTGTATATACGTATACGACATCTGTGTCCAGGCGTTCTGCAGTACCACGTGGTCCCAGGGACGATCTACAGGGCAGCGTACCACACCAGCTACCTGCACACCTTTGAGGAGGCCGACCAGATTAGACTACATAGATTCCTCTTTTGTGAGTAGTATGTCTAGGGATCACCTCACTTTTGAGGTGTCCGGTCAGACGAGTTTTAACAACATGATTGTTTTACATGCGTTACTGTCTGTAGTGATCGCCTCACTTTTGAGGTGTCTGGTCAGATGAGTTTTACTAAACATCACTGTTTTACATGCGTTACGGTCTGTAGTGATCTCCTCACTTTTGAGGTGACCCGACAAATAGGGCTATATGATTCCTGAAATCTCTCCTCGCTTTCGATGTTCCGGATGTTTTGATCATGGTCCGAAAGGCTTACCTTACTTTTGAGGCGTCCGACCAGCTAAGGTGAGGTGAGGTGAAATGGGGTTTAACGTCGCGCTCAAGGTTGTTGCACTTCTACAGCGACGCGCATGCACATGTGTGTGTGTGTGTGTGTGGCTGTTTGTACAAGTCCGAACGAATGCCGATTTTATAGTGCAAGCCCGCTGAAATACCTTGCCCCAGTTTAACATGAATACCCCACTCAGACACAGAACACTCAAAACCGATCAGTCCTTGTTTTAGCCTCTTAATGTAGGGCGCCAGGCAGGGTATCAACAAGTACCATCGTTTAACGTCTTTTGGATCGAATCCGCGGCCTTACGCTCTCGGTGCGGACGCTCTGCCACTGGAGCACGGAGGCGGTCCCGGCCAGCTCAGGTTATGACAAATGTTATGGACTAAAATGTCAGCCTCACTTTAGAAAGGTCCGACCAGATTAGGTTATATATATTATGTTGAGGTAAGAATGATTCAACTCGCTCTTAATAATTAGGTGTCCGACAAGACTAGACAAGAGTATTTTTTCATAAGGGTCTCCGTCGTGTCTGAGGTTGGAAGGTTTAGATGTAAACGGATGATCATTTGACAAAGTGACGGGAACTGTGTGATAACCTTTAATGAGCTTTCAGATATGAGTCAGTGAGTGAGTTGGGTTTAACGCCGCTTTTAACAGTATTCCAGTTATGTCGCGGCGTGTCAGCTTAAAGTGGGAGGAAAGCCCGAAGTGATGTAGGTCTCAGACGTTTACCACCTCGGTGAAACCCACGACCACGGGTATGGTGCTGACAAACCTAGAAACATAATTGGGGCGAACCGGGATTCGAACCCACAATCATAGGTTTCTGGCGTACCCATGGGACGCAACTCTGCACAGCGAAGTATTATGATCGATAATATAAAATGAACTAATGGTAAATAGACAATATGTGATGTATTAGGAGTGAGTGGTAACCCTCAAATAACAAGCTCCAATGCAGGTCACATAGGGTAGATATATTGTCAAGTCATGGTTCATGTTCAACTATATGCGTGCGAATGACCCAATTCTTTCTTTGCCCCTGTAGTTGGGTACGAGGCCGACGATGGCGGTATGGAGGACGATGAGGTGAGTGCCACCAATGGGGTTGTCCAGAAGATTGACGCTGTTCTCATCCCCAGCTCGCTGTCTGACCAGGTCAAGGCTTTGACCGCTGGAGCAACGACAGCAGCTTAAAGACATTGTAATTGAGATTGATTAAATCGCACATCATATATCACGGAGCATAGTCATTTTTCAAAGCATTCTTTCCAATTCAATAATTGTCATGATAATGCACCATGTAGGTATTCTGATCAGAGCGCATGGATGACCAAGTGGTCTATGTCACTACAGCTCATTGTGCAGACCGTTTGCCGTTCACGGTCCATTGGTCGCACAGGATTGAGTGAGTAAGTGAGTGAGTGAGTTTGGTTTAACGCCGCTTTTAACATTATTCCAGTTATATCGCGGCGTGTCAGCTTAAAGTGGGAGGAAAGCCCGAAGTGATGTAGGTCTCAGACGTTTACCACATCGATGAAACCCACAAGCACGGGTATGGTGCTGACAAACCTAGAAACATAATCGGGGCGAACCTGGATTCGAACCCACAATCATAGGTTTCTGGCGTGCACAGCGAATCGCGGCGCCTTTGACGTCCTGGCCACCCGTGCCCCCTCAGAGTTTGGGGTGGCGGAAACATATATATAGCTCAGTGTGTGTGTGTGTGTGTGTGTGTGTGTGTGTGTGTGTGTGTTGTATTGGTTTGCGTTGCGTGCGGGCATGCATATGTGTGTGCATGCTCTTGTCCCATTGTCCCGTGTCATTAATGGCACTCAGTCAGAATCATCACGAGAGACAAGTCAAAACTAAAAAACCCATTTGATTTATTCTTAGCATATCTACAACAAAATTATACTGATTCTAAATTTGGTTTTGCAGCAAATACCCAGCCTGTATATATGTATGTAAATCTTGGCTAGTTGGTGGTAGGGTTGAGCAAAATATTCCTTGTGAAAATGTGTTGATAATCAACATCGTTTCGAAAATGCGGGGCCTGACAGGCCTGTTGCATGCTCTTATCCCAACCAATAACGTTATTATCTGCTGTGTCGCGTCCGGAGGTGTCGGTCGGTCGGGTAGCCTTGTGGTAAAAGCGTTCGCTCGTCACGACGAAGACCCGGGCTCGATTTCCGACATGGGTACAATGTGTGAAGCCCATTTGTGGTGTCCCCCGCCGTGATATTGCTGGAATATTGCTAAAAGCCAAACCCACGATCACAGGATCATGAAGTGCCCAAGGAAGGCAAATCTGCACAGCCAAATCGGACGTATTAGATGACTAATGCACCTTCATGAAGGTTGGTGCCAATAAACATCAGCAGCTTCACTGTATTGAGGGGGATACCTCTTCCTCGTACGGTGAGAGGTTCCGAGCTGTTTCCATTTGATCCACTGTCCCTGTGTCCATTGCTTTGTTACAGCTACGGCATTTGTCCGATTACTTAAATTTAAACTATTATGAAGAGGGGGCACGGGTGGCCCAGTCGTCTAAGGCGCCGCGATTCGCTGTGCAGAGTTGCGTCCCTTTGGCACGCCAGAAACCTATGATTGTAGGTTCGAATCCCGGTTCGCCCCAATTACGTTTCTAGATTTGTCAGCACCATACCCGTGCTTGTGGGTTTCACCGAAGTGGTAAACGTCAGAGACCTGCATCACTTCGGGCTTTCCTCCCACATTAAGCTGACACGCCGCCATATAACTGGAATAATGTTAAAGTACTGTTCACTATTATGAAGACGTTAGGGTATTGTTCTTGCAGTTGATTTTTAGGACGTTAAACTGACGCAACTATAGGCCATTAAGCAAAACTATAGAGGACTTATGATTCAACCATAACATGTTTAAAGCCAGAGAAATCACTCCAATCTGTCGATTCTAGAAGTAGGATTTCCCTACCTATTACATTACATGGATGTAGAAAATTCTTACGAAACCAGTTGTTTAATTGGATATGACGCTGTTGATGGGCATTGTTATATTTTATCATAAGAAATCCATTTAATCCATGTGTATCCACCACTACAGTAAGATACCATTCCTCAGAGAATCGCTAAACTGACCACGTAAGTCTTTATCTTTTAAAACCGACTATTGTGAGGTCATTAAAAAACTAACGTAATGAATTTAGTTTCTAGATAAGAATAAAATGCTGTGCTGTTATGTCACGTGATTGTAATCTCAATCTGACTATACACGAACATTCTTGTGAAACCAATCCTTCTTCTTGCAAGTTGGCTCCGTGGTGCTGCTAGAGACAAAATGTATGCTTTGTTAGTTCTTTGCATGCTGGTCGTTGCTGCAGCGGCGCAGTCGACAACAGTACCTACATCAAACATCATCGACCACCTGACTACACGACGCCTCACCACCCTCCTGAATCTTATTCAGCAAGCAGGGCTTACTGATACCCTTAAAGGACCTGGTAAGATACAGTAAGGATATCATCTGGATGATTATGAAATCGTCTCTAGGTCTCGGTCAAATATATAGATAATATAAGAAATGGATGCATTTTGGATACATTCAAAAGTATATACAATGCAGTTTTGAAAGCTATTTTGATACGTGGATGAACTTTTCAAAAATGAAATTTCTTACATGAAAAATATGACTGATTCTATAACGGTGAAGTAACGCAACAATCAGACAACAGATTCTAGTTTTCATGAAATTGATAACATATTATTAAGCTTTAATCGAAATGAATATTATGAGTGAATATTAAGACTATTGATGTACCTAACAGAAAACACAGCGAAAGATTATGTATATGTTACAGAATGTTTTAATGAGAGGCGGACAAAATATCGATTCAAATTTAAATCAGTTCTAATTCATAATTTGTTTGTATTCGGGTAGTAAGTTATAATGATATTAATATCCATAATTATCACTGTATTCATATCAATAAAATTGTCAATAATTCTTATTAGTGTTCAAAGCGTTCGTTCGTATCGGTGGCGATCAATATTTGAAGACAACTTTAATAAAATAGCAGGAATGGTTACACCAAGTAGAATAATACTCTCTTACTAGTAATCATTTATGGACCAATGTTCTAACACATTCCTACACAATGGTTGGTCATGTCATACCACATTGACTGTTCACAGGACCATTCACCCTGTTTTCCCCCGACGTGACCTCTCTGGGCAATTTGGATGCAACTGACCCGGCAAAAGTGACCGCCCTTATCAAATACCACGTGGCCAATGGTCAATACCGACGAGCTGATCTGTACAATGAGGAGAGTCTCACTTCCCTCCTGCCCAACCAAAGCATCAGGGTCAACCACTATGTCAGTAAAGGGGTAAGTGCACGTGTTCTATCTATGCGGCTTATTGGTCAGAATATGAAATGGTTGGACCCCAATGTAGCCTCCGGTTTACACTGAATCAACTCCCTCACTCACTCATCTGAACATTAAAGTGTTAAAATCAACTCCCTCACTCACTCATCTGAACATTAATGTGTTAAAATCAACTCCCTCACTCACTCATCTGAACATTAATGTGTGTATTCATGTATTAATTCCTATGTACTTTCATGTGTATATCCATCTGCATATTCAAGTGTACATTCATTTGCACATTCATTTGAACATTCATGTGTTTATTCCTGTGACTATGCCTGTGTAATTACTTGCGTTAATTCCTGTTTACCTGTTTACACTAGATAGTAAATACATTCCTGACAACTAATTATTGTTAAAACACGATGCTATTTTCTACTAGTAGAAACAATGCAATGAAATTGGAACATTGTTTAAGAGTGAGTGAGTGAGTGTGAGTATGGTTTTACGCCGCTTTTAGGAATATTCCAGCAATATCACGGCGCCGACCGCCCCGTTTAAGAGTATAATACACTGACTGCTATATAACACATGCATAAAATGTTCATCACTTTTTTGCCTTTTACGCCCGATGGGAAATGTTTCAGCAGATATTTGAGCGATTAATCTATGACGTTTACATTTTGAATGTGGTACCTCTCTTGGAGTTGCATCACCATGGCGTTAAATAACGACATCTGTTCCAGATCGTAACCCTGGAGGGGAAGGACATTCGATCATCTGAGCAAGAGTTGAGTAATGGAGTTATTCACTTCATCAAGGGCGTGATGATGCCACCGGCGGGGACCGTACTGGACGTCGTCTCAAAAGACGGAAATCTTACCACACTCGCTTCAGCTATTAAGACTGCGATGCTAGACAATTTCTTTCAAGGTAAATATCGACAAGACATTTCACACTGCATAACAATTTAATATGGAACGCCGGTTTACTGGTATTTCAGGCATATCAGGGTGTGCTGACTTTACAACGTGGGTAAAACCCACGGGTAGGAATATGGAATGAAGTTTATTTATGATCATGTAGATCAGATTACAGAAACAGCAATGTACCACTCAATGCACGTCATGTTGGTGTATCCATAAAATATGTTTAGAGGAAACTATTTTCGTAAAGTTGATAAGATTTTTACAATGGTAAAATACAGTTTCACAATTACGACCATCTGTAGAACTGGGCTTCACTGGGACTTCACTGTTCCTGCAGTTTACTCTATGGTTATTGGGTATTGCAGATCAAAAGCCCATCACCCTCTTTGCTCCAACTGACGATGCCTTCAACAAACTCGGAAGTGCAACTGTACAAGGCCTTATCGCCGACCCTACACTTTTGAAAAGTAAGTTCTACTTAAAATTTGAGTGAAAGACATGTTCATTTATAACTTCTTATAAAGATAACTGTGGCTATTTTTGTTGTTTAAAGAAAGGTAATGTCAGACGAAACCAAAGGTGACTTATAGCTCAAGGACACAATGCGTGATCTAAGATATTTCGTTGTTTTAGTTAGAGATGTCAGCAGAGAATATATTTTGGTCACAGAAATAATTTTGCAACCCTTGTCGCAACGTCGTTTCAAGAATAGGAAGAAACAACAACTAAATCTGAAGAACAAAGTATTTTGTGTAAATTAAAGTACTTGACTAAAGCCCTGTGGTCCTTTATATATGGTTACTCCCATCCAGTCATTACATGGTTTGAAACGTCGCCATATAAGTGCAATAATGTAGGACGCGACGTTAAACCCCAATTCACCTCACCACATGGTTGAAACACAAGCACAAACACAATTCATAAACACGTGCACATATAGTCGGAATCGTACAGTCGACACTACTGTTAGCAGAAATTACATTAAATGTGGCTTTATTTAAGAATTATAATACCGTTTTGTTTTATAATTACTTAATATGACATTGACTAGACTACATAAAGTTCACGAAATGCCTTAAAGATATGTGCTGTAATTCTCCTGGAAAGGTCTTAATCTTTATGATATTACTTAAGTTGTATATACGTATATGACATCTGTGTCCAGGCGTTCTGCAGTACCACGTGGTCCCAGGGACGATCTACAGGGCAGCGTACCACACCAGCTACCTGCACACCTTTGAGGAGGCCGACCAGATTAGACTACATAGATTCCTCTTTTGTGAGTAGTATGTCTAGGGATCACCTCACTTTTGAGGTGTCCGGTCAGATGAGTTTTAAAAACATGACAGTTTTATATGCGTCACTGTCTGTAGTGATCGCCTCACTTTTGAGGTGTCCGGTCAGACGAGTTTTAACAACATGATCGTTTTACATGCGTTACTGTCTGTAGTGATCGCCTCACTTTTGAGGTGTCTGGTCAGATGAGTTTTACCAAACATCACTGTTTTACATGCGTTACTGTCTGTAGTGATCTCCTCACTTTTGAGGTGACCCGACAAATAGGGCTATATGATTCCTGAAATCTCTCCTCGCTTTCGATGTTCCGGATGTTTTGATCATGGTCCGAAAGGCTTACCTTACTTTTGAGGCGTCCGACCAGCTAAGGTGAGGTGAGGTGAAATGGGGTTTAACGTCGCGCTCAAGGTTGTTGCACTTCTACAGCGACGCGCATGCACGTGAGTGTGTGTGTGTGTGTGGCTGTTTGTACAAGTCCGAACGAATGCCGATTTTATAGTGCAAGCCCGCTGAAATACCTTGCCCCAGTTTAACATGAATACCCCACTCAGACACAGAACACTCAAAACCGATCAGTCCTTGTTTTAGCCTCTTAATGTAGGGCGCCAGGCAGGGTATCAACAAGTACCATCGTTTAACGTCTTTTGGATCGAATCCGCGGCCTTACGCTCTCGGTGCGGACGCTCTGCCACTGGAGCACGGAGGCGGTCCCGGCCAGCTCAGGTTATGACAAATGTTATGGACTAAAATGTCAGCCTCACTTTAGAAAGGTCCGACCAGATTAGGTTATATATATTATGTTGAGGTAAGAATGATTCAACTCGCTCTTAATAATTAGGTGTCCGACAAGACTAGACAAGAGTATTTTTTCATAAGGGTCTCCGTCGTGTCTGAGGCTGGAAGGTTTAGATGTAAACGGATGATCATTTGACAAAGTGACGGGAACTGTGTGATAACCTTTAATGAGCTTTCAGATATGAGTCAGTGAGTGAGTTGGGTTTAACGCCGCTTTTAACAGTATTCCAGTTATATCGCAGCGTGTCAGCTTAAAGTGGGAGGAAAGCCCGAAGTGATGTAGGTCTCAGACGTTTACCACCTCGGTGAAACCCACGACCACGGGTATGGTGCTGACAAACCTAGAAACATAATTTGGGCGAACCGGGATTCGAACCCACAATCATAGGTTTCTGGCGTGCCCATGGGACGCAACTCTGCACAGCGATATATTATGATCAATAATATAAAATGAACTAATGGTAAATAGACAATATGTGCTGTATTAGGAGTGAGTGGTAACCCTCAAATAACACGCTTCAATGCAGGTCACATAGGGTAGATGTATTGTCAAATCATGGTTCATGTTCAACTATATGCGTTCGAATGACCCAATTCTTTCTTTGCCCCTGTAGTTGGGTACGAGGCTGACGATGGCGGTATGGTGGACGATGAGGTGAGTGCCACCAATGGGGTTGTCCAGAAGATTGACGCTGTTCTCATCCCCAGCTCGCTGTCTGACCAGGTCAAGGCTTTGACCGCTGGAGCAGCGACAGCAGCTTAAATACATTGTAATTGAGATTGATTAAATCAAACATCATATATCTCGGAGCATAGTCATTTTTCAAAGCATTCTTTCCAATTCAATAATTGGCATGATAATGCACCATGCAGGTATTCTGATCAGAGCGCATGGATGACCAAGTGGTCTATGTCACTACAGCTCATTGTGCAGACCGTTTGCCGTTCACGGGCCATCATTGGTCGCACAGGAGTGAGTAAGTGAGTGAGTGAGTGAGTGAGTTTGGTTTAACGCCGCTTTTAACATTATTCCAGTTATATCGCGGCGTGTCAGCTAAATGTAGGAGGAAAGCCCGAAGCGATGCAGGTCTCAGACGTTTACCACTTCGGTGAACCCACGAGCACGGGTATGGTGCTGACAAACCTAGAAACATAATCGGGGCGAACCGGGATTCGAACCCACAATCATAGGTTTCTGGCGTGCACAGCGAATCGCGGCGCCTTTGACGACCTGGCCACCCGTGCCCCCTGATGGTCGCACAGGAACGTAGGAACGTTTCTCAGAGTTTGGGGTGGCGGAAACATATATTTCTGTAGCTCAGTGTGTGTGTGTGTGTGTGTGTGTGTGTGTGTGTGTGTGTGTGTGCGTGCGTGGGTTTGCGTGCGGGCATGCATATGTGTGTGCATACTCTTGTCTCATTGTCCCGTCATTAATGGCACTCAGTCAGAATCATCACGAGAGACAAGTCAAAACTAAAAAACCCATTTGATTTATTCTTAGCATATCTACAACAAAATTATACTGATTCTAAATTTGGTTTTGCAGCAAATACCCAGCCTGTATATATGTATGTAAATCTTGGCTAGTTGGTGGTAGGGTTGAGCAAAATATTCCTTGTGAAAATGTGTTGATAATCAACATCGTTTCGAAAATGCGGGGCCTGACAGGCCTGTTGCATGCTCTTATCCCAACCAATAACGTTATTATCTGCTGTGTCGCGTCCGGAGGTGTCGGTCGGTCGGGTAGCCTTGTGGTAAAAGCGTTCGCTCGTCACGACGAAGACCCGGGCTCGATTTCCGACATGGGTACAATGTGTGAAGCCCATTTGTGGTGTCCCCCGCCGTGATATTGCTGGAATATTGCTAAAAGCCAAACCCACGATCACAGGATCATGAAGTGCCCAAGGAAGGCAAATCTGCACAGCCAAATCGGACGTATTAGATGACTAATGCACCTTCATGAAGGTTGGTGCCAATAAACATCAGCAGCTTCACTGTATTGAGGGGGATACCTCTTCCTCGTACGGTGAGAGGTTCCGAGCTGTTTCCATTTGATCCACTGTCTCTGTGTCCATTGCTTTGTTACAGCTACGGCATTTGTCCGATTACTTAAATTTAAACTATTATGAAGAGGGGGCACGGGTGGCCCAGTCATCTAAGGCGCCGCGATTCGCTGTGCAGAGTTGCGTCCCTTTGGCACGCCAGAAACCTATGGTTGTAGGTTCGAATCCCGGTTCGCCCCAATTACGTTTCTAGATTTGTCAGCACCATACCCGTGCTCGTGGGTTTCACCGAAGTGGTAAACGTCAGAGACCTGCATCACTTCGGGCTTTCCTCCCACATTAAGCTGACACGCCGTGACATAACTGGACTACTGTTAAAGTACTGTTCACTATTATGAAGACGTTATGCTATTGTTCTTGCAGTTGATTTTTAGGACGTTAAACTGACGCAACTATAGGCCATTAAGCAAAACTATAGAGGACTTATGATTCAACCATAACATGTTTAAAGCCAGAGAAATCCCTCCAATCTGATGATTCCAGAAGTTGGATTTCCCTATAACAAAACATGGATGTAGAAAATTCTTACGAAACCAGTTGTTTGGATGCTGTTTGAAGGGAATTGGTTTGTTTTTTATAACCATTCGAAATCCATTGAATCCATGTGTATCAACCATTGCAGTAAGTCAACATTCATCAGATATACGCTAAACTGACCAGAGAAATCACTCCAATCTGTCGATTCTAGAAGTAGGATTTCCCTATTACAAAACATGGATGTAGCAAATTCTTACGAAACCAGTTGTTTAATTGGATATGACGCTGTTGAATGGCATTGTTATATTTTATCATAAGAAATACATTTAATCAATGTGTATCCACCACTACAGTAAGATACCATTCCTCAGAGAATCGCTAAACTGACCACGCAAGTCTTTATCTTTTAAAACCGACTATTGTGAGGTCATTAAAAAACTAACGTAATGAATTTAGTTTCTAGATAAGAATAAAATGCTGTGCTGTTATGTCACGTGATTGTAATCTCAATCTGACTATACACGAACATTCTTGTGAAACCAATCCTTCTTCTTGCAAGTTGGCTCCGTGGTGCTGCTAGAGACAAAATGTATGCTTTGTTAGTTCTTTGCATGCTGGTCGTTACTGCAGCGGCGCAGTCGACAACAGTACCTTCATCAAACATCATCGACCACCTGACTACACGACGCCTCACCACCCTCCTGAATCTTATTCAGCAAGCAGGGCTTACTGATACCCTTAAAGGACCTGGTAAGATACAGTAAGGATATCATCTGGATGATTATGAAATCGTCTCTAGGTCTCGGTCAAATATATAGATAATATAAGAAATGGATGCATTTTGGATACATTCAAAAGTATATACAATGCAGTTTTGAAAGCTATTTTGATACGTGGATGAACTTTTCAAAAATGAAATTTCTTACATGAAAAATATGACTGATTCTATAACGGTGAAGTAACGCAACAATCAGACAACAGATTCTAGTTTTCATGAAATTGATAACATATTATTAAGCTTTAATCGAAATGAATATTATGAGTGAATATTAAGACTATTGATGTACCTAACAGAAAACACAGCGAAAGATTATGTATATGTTACAGAATGTTTTAATGAGAGGCGGACAAAATATCGATTCAAATTTAAATCAGTTCTAATTCATAATTTGTTTGTATTCGGGTAGTAAGTTATAATGATATTAATATCCATAATTATCACTGTATTCATATCAATAAAATTGTCAATAATTCTTATTAGTGTTCAAAGCGTTCGTTCGTATCGGTGGCGATCAATATTTGAAGACAACTTTAATAAAATAGCAGGAATGGTTACACCAAGTAGAATAATACTCTCTTACTAGTAATCATTTATGGGCCAATGTTCTAACACATTCCTACACAATGGTTGGTCATGTCATACCACATTGACTGTTCACAGGACCATTCACCCTGTTTTCCCCCGACGTGACCTCTCTGGGCAATTTGGATGCAACTGACCCGGCAAAAGTGACCGCCCTTATCAAATACCACGTGGCCAATGGTCAATACCGACGAGCTGATCTGTACAATGAGGAGAGTCTCACTTCCCTCCTGCCCAACCAAAGCATCAGGGTCAACCACTATGTCAGTAAAGGGGTAAGTGCACGTGTTCTATCTATTCGGCTTATTGGTCAGAATATGAAATGGTTGGACCCCAATGTAGCCTCCGGTTTACACTGAATCAACTCCCTCACTCACTCATCTGAACATTAATGTGTTAAAATCAACTCCCTCACTCACTCATCTGAACATTAATGTGTTAAAATCAACTCCCTCACTCACTCATCTGAACATTAATGTGTGTATTCATGTATTAATTCCTATGTACTTTCATGTGTATATCCATCTGCATATTCAAGTGTACATTCATTTGCACATTCATTTGAACATTCATGTGTTTATTCCTGTGACTATGCCTGTGTAATTACTTGCGTTAATTCCTGTTTACCTGTTTACACTAGATAGTAAATACATTCCTGACAACTAATTATTGTTAAAACACGATGCTATTTTCTACTAGTAGAAACAATGCAATGAAATTGGAACATTGTTTAAGAGTGAGTGAGTGAGTGTGAGTATGGTTTTACGCCGCTTTTAGGATTATTCCAGCAATATCACGGCGCCGACCGCCCCGTTTAAGAGTATAATACACTGACTGCTATATAACACATGCATAAAATGTTCATCACTTTTTTGCCTTTTACGCCCGATGGGAAATGTTTCAGCAGATATTTGAGCAATTAATCTATGACGTTTACATTTTGAATGTGGTACCTCTCTTGGAGTTGCATCACCATGGCGTTAAATAACGACATCTGTTCCAGATCGTAACCCTGGAGGGGAAGGACATTCGATCATCTGAGCAAGAGTTGAGTAATGGAGTTATTCACTTCATCAAGGGCGTGATGATGCCACCGGCGGGGACCGTACTGGACGTCGTCTCAAAAGACGGAAATCTTACCACACTCGCTTCAGCTATTAAGACTGCGATGCTAGACAATTTCTTTCAAGGTAAATATCGACAAGACATTTCACACTGCATAACAATTTAATATGGAACGCCGGTTTACTGGTATTTCAGGCATATCAGGGTGTGCTGATTTTACAACGTGGGTAAAACCCACGGGTAGGAATAGGGAATGAAGTTTAGTTATGATCATGTAGATCAGATTACAGAAACAGCAATGTACCACTCAATGCACGTCATGTTGGTGTATCCATAAAATATGTTTAGAGGAAACTATTTTCGTAAAGTTGATAAGATTTTTACAATGGTAAAATACAGTTTCACAATTACGACCATCTGTAGAACTGGGCTTCACTGGGACTTCACTGTTCCTGCAGTTTACTCTATGGTTATTGGGTATTGCAGATCAAAAGCCCATCACCCTCTTTGCTCCAACTGACGATGCCTTCAACAAACTCGGAAGTGCAACTGTACAAGGTCTTATCGCCGACCCTACACTTTTGAAAAGTAAGTTCTACTTAAAATTTGAGTGAAAGACATGTTCATTTATAACTTCTTATAAAGATAACTGTGGCTATTTATGTTGTTTAAAGTAAGGTAATGTCAGACGAAACCAAAGGTGACTTATAGTTCAAGGACACAATGCGTGATCTAAGATATTTCGTTGTTTTAGTTAGAGATATCAGCAGAGATTATATTTTGGTCACAGAAATAATTTTGCAACCCTTGTCGCAACGTCGTTTCAAGAATAGGAAGAAACACAACTAAATCTGAAGAACAAAGTGTTTTGTGTAAAGTACTTGACTAAGGCCTTGTGGTCCTTTATATATAGGAACTCCCATCCAGTCATTACATGGCTTGAAACGTCGCCATATAAGTGCAATAATGTAGGACGCGACGTTAAACCCCAATTCACCTCACCACATGGTTGAAACACAAGCACAAACACAATTCATAAACACGTGCACATATAGTCGGAATCGTACCGTCGACACTGCTGTTAGCAGAAATTACATTAAATGTGGCTTTTTTTAAGAATTATAATACCATTTTGTTATTTAATTTCTTAATATGACATTGACTAGACTACATAAAGTTCACGAAATGCCTTAAAGATATGTGCTGTAATTCTCCTGGAAAGGTCTTTATCTTTATGATATTACTTAAGTTGTATATACGTATATGACACCTGTGTCCAGGCGTTCTGCAGTACCACGTGGTCCCAGGGACGATCTACAGGGCAGCGTACCACACCAGCTACCTGCCCACCTTTGAGGAGGCCGACCAGATTAGACTACATAATTCCTTCTTCTGTGAGTAGTGTGTCTGGGCTTCGCCTCACTTTTGAGGTATCTGGTCGGATGAGTTTTAAAAACATGACTGTTTTATATGCGTTACTGTCTGTAGTGATCGACTCACTTTTGAGGTGTCTGGTCAGATGAGTTTTAACAACATGACTGTTTTACATGCGTTACTGTCTGTAGTGATCTCCTCACTTTTGAGGTGTCCCGACAAATAGGGCTATATGATTCCTGAGTATTCTCCTCGCTTTCGACGTGCCCGGATGTTTTGATCATAACCCGAAAGGCTTACCTTACTTTTAAGGCGTCCGACCAGCTGAGTGAGTGAGTGAGTGAGTATGGTTTTACGCCGCTTTTAGCAATATTCCAGCAATATCACGGCGGGGGACACCAGAAATGGGCTTCACACATTGTACAAATGTCGGGAATCGAACCCGGGTCTTCGGCGTGACGAGCGAACGCTTTAACCACTAAGCTACCCGACCGCCCGCCGACCAGCTGAGGTGAGGTGAGGTGAAATGTGGTTTAACGTCGCGCTCGAGGTTGTTGCACCTCTACAGCGACGCGCATGCACGTGAGTGTGTGTGTGTGTGGCTGTTTGTACAAGTCCGAACGAATGCCAATTTTATAGTGCTAGCCCGCTGAAATACCTTGCCCCAGTTTAACAGGAATACCCCACTCAGACACAGAACACTCAAAACTGATCAGTCCTTGTTTTAGCCTCTTTTAGCCAGGCAGGGTATCAACAAGTAGCATCTTTTAACGTCTTTTGGATCGAATCCGCGGCCTTCCGCTATCCATGCGGACGCTCTGCCACTGGAGCACGGAGGCGGTCCCGGCCAGCTCAGGTTATGACAAATGTTATGGACCAAAATGTCAGCCTCACTTTAGAAGTGTCCGACCAGATTAGGTTATATAGATTATGTTGATGTCAGAAGGATTCAACTCGCTCTTTATAATTAGGTGTCCGACAAGACTAGACAAGAGTATTGCTTCATAAGGGTCTCCGTCGTGCCTGAGGTTGGAAGGTTAAGATGTAAACGGATGATTATTTGACAAAGTGACGGGAACTGTGTGATTACCTTTAATGAGCTTCCAGATATGAGTCAGTGAGTGAGTTGGGTTTAACGCCGCTTTTAACAATATTCCAGTTATATCGCGGCGTGTCAGCTTAATGTGGGAGGAAAGCCCGAAGTGATGTAGGTCTCAGACGTTTACCACCTCGGTGAAACCCACAAGCACGGATATATTGCTTACAAACTTAGAAACATAATTTGGGCGAACCGGGATTCGAACCCACAATCATAGGTTTCTGGCGTGCCCATGGGACGCAACTCTGCACAGCGAATCGCAGCGCCTTAGACGACTGGGCCACCCGTGCCTCCTTCAGATATGATACTGAGCTAAAGTATTATGATCAATAATATAAAATGAACTAATGGCAAATAAACAATATGTGATGTATTAGGAGTGAGTGCTAACCCTCAAATAACAAGCTCCAATGCGGGTCACATAGGGTAGATGTATTGTCAAATCATGGTTCATGTACAACTATATTCGTGCGAATGACCTAATCCTTTCTTTGCCCCTGTAGTTGGGTACGAGGCCGACGATGGCGGTATGGAGGGCGATGAGTTGAGTGCCACCAATGGGGTTGTCCAGAAGATTGACGCTGTTCTCATCCCCAGCTCGCTGTCTGACCAGGTCAAGGCTTTGACCGCTGGAGCAACGACAGCTGCATGAAGACATTACCTTGTAATCCCTTGTAATTGTGATTGATTAAATCCAACATCATATATCTCGGAGCATAGTCATTTTTCAAAGCATTCTTTCCAATTCAATAATTGGCATGATAATGCACGTGTGTGTGTATGCGTTTGCGTGCGGGCATGCATGTGTGTGTGCATGCTCTTGTCCTATTGTCCCGTGTCATTAATGGCACTTTTATTCTTTACATATCTACAGCAAAATTATACTGATTCTAAATTTGGTTTTGCAGCAAATACTCAGCCTGTATATATGTATGTAAATCTTGGCTAGTTGGTGGTAGGGTTGAGCAAAATATTCCTTGTGAAAATTTGTTGATAATCCACATCGTTTCGAAAATGCGGGGGCCTGACAGGCCTGTTGCATGCTCTTATCCCAAACAATAACTTTATTATCTGCTGTGTCGCGTCCGGAGGTGTCGGTCGGTCGGGTAGCCTTGTGGTAAAATCGTTTGCTCGTCACATCGAAGACCCGGGCTCGATTTCCGACATGGGTACAGTGTGTGAAGCCCATTTATGGTGTCCCCCGCCGTGATATTGCTGGGATATTGCTAAAAGCGGCGTAGAACATCACTCACTCACTCCGGAGGAGGAGTCTGTCTATAGCCTGAAACTTGACAACAGCGTGTGAGCGGATGATTGTTTATATTTTATACCAACACCTTAGGTCTGTTTCAGTTACTAAAGTCATTAGTAAAGAGTGAGTTGGGTTTTACTCTACATTGAGTTCACTTACATCATGGCGTGATTTGATTAAACTTGGGTCATGCCGCAGACCCACTTCCTTGAAACTCATGAACACGGACATGGTGCTGACAAACCAAGGTTCATAATCGGGTCGAATCCCATGTTCGCAACCATGACAAGCGGATCTTGAAAAAGTTGAATACAAAACGGAATGTACAGCATACGTCCCTTTTATGGTGTAGAGTAGATTGACAGTTTCATCTGCACCAGGCTGAAGGTTACATGGGCGACCTAGATGGTTGTGTTTCAACGCACTCCGACAGCGGGGATAGTTGACACAATTATTTTCTTGATGATTTTCCGCCCTTCGTGCCTTAACTGCGACGGATGTCACCAATCACATACGTATTCACACTTCATTTAAGTTTCTAGTGAGTGAGTTAGTGAGTGAGTGAGTGAGTGAGTGCGTCTGTTTTTTTCAGACATATCAAGGTGTGTCACTTTGTGATGTGGAAGGTGATCCCGATGTGAAGAAGGTCTAACACTCTAACCATTTGGTTAAACCACCGAGCACGGATACGGTTCTGATAAAAGTAGAAACATGCTCATGGCGCCCAAGGATTCGAACCCAGGACCATAGTTTATCACACGCCTGAGGGGGGCAACTCAGCACAGCGAATTACGGCGCTTTAGGCTGCAGTTTACAAGCATGCATGAGCACACATGATGTTGCCTCAATCTTCAAACGCAATAAAAGATTTAGGTACGTTGTCACACAGTCTGTTCATATCTGTACAAAAAGACAAATGTTATACTACTTAATACTCCTGAATATGTTCGACGTGCACGTATTCTGTCTACAGCGCTAATAATTGTCTGTTGGTAATTGTGGTGCTGGTAAAGCTTAATCCAAAAGGCGTTTTTACAAGAAACAAGAAACGAGGAACTTTTTTAACGTCGGATATTATAATACAAAGAACATGAGGTAGCTACAAAACAGTCTGAAAAATGAGTGAGTGCGTATGGTTTTACGCCGCTTTTAGCAATATTCCAGCAACATCACAGCGGGGGACACCAGAAATGGGCTTCACACATTGTACCCATGTCGGGAATCGAACACGGGGTTTCGGCGTGATGAGCGAACGCTTAAACCACTAGGCTACCGGACCGCCCCTCTGAAAAATGAACAAAACAGAAATACCCCCCCCCAAAAAAAAAAAAAACCCAAAAAAAAACCAAAACAAAACAAACAAACCAAAAAAAACAACAACCCAAAACCAAGAACTAGAATGTACACAGGGAGCATGAATTAAAGAAAAGATCACAAGGAAGGGGTCTGTTAGAATGAAAGCATGCTGGAAAATCTTTGATCATGACATCATCAAGCCCATTGTGAATTAAGCCACTTTGAACATTACTTCATGTGTTGTGACGGGTGCCACCGGTGGGGCAGGTTACGCTCGCCGTTTCGCGAACACCTTGGGCCATAACAATGGACTTAAGTAGAGACTTCTTATATATGTGGAATGTTTTTTGCCGCGCCCATTTATATCACGGATTATCAGACCCGAAACCCGAAGTGATGCAGGCCTGAGACGTTTTTACTTTGGTGAAGCACATGAACACGTGACCAATCCAATGACCATAATCAAGGCGTATAACCCACGACCATAGGATCATGACGTGCCCAATTGAGGCAACTCAGCACAGCCAATTGGGACGCATTAGATAACTAATGACCTCAATGAAGGTTGGTGCCAGTAAATATCAGCAGCTTCACTGTATTGAGGGGGATGCCCCTTCTTCGTGGTGTGAGAGGTTGCGAGCTGTTACCATTTGACCCACTGTCCCTGTGTCTATTGCTTTGTTACAACTACATCGTTTGTCCGATTACTTAAATTTAAACTATTATGAAGACGTTATGCTATTGTACTTGCGGTTGATTCTTAGGACGTAAAACTGACGCAACTATAGGCCATTATGCAAAACTATAGAGGAATAATGATTCAACCATAACATGTTTAAAGCCAGAGAAATCCCTCCAATCTGATGATTCCAGAAGTTGGATTTCCCTATAACAAAACATGGATGTAGAAAATTCTTACGAAACCAGTTGTTTGGATGCTGTTTGAAGGGAATTGGTTTGTTTTTTATTACCATTCGAAATCCATTGAATCCATGTGTATCAACCATTGCAGTAAGTCAACATTCATCAGATATACGCTAAACTGACCACGTAAGTCTTTATCTTTATGAAACCGACTATTGTGAGGTCATTAAAAACCTACGTAATGAATTTAGTTTCAAGATAAGATTAAAATGCTGCGCTGCTATGTCACGTGATCTAATCTGAGTCTGACTATACACGAACATTCTTGTGAAACCAATCCTTCTTCTTGCAAGTTGGCTCCGTGGTGCTGCTAGAGACAAAATGTATGCTTTGTTAGTTCTTTGCATGCTGGTCGTTGCTGCAACGGCGCAGTCGACAACAGTACCAACATCAAATATCATCGACTTCCTGACTGCAGGACGCCAGACCACACTTCTAAATCTTATTCAGCAAGCGGGGCTCACTGATACTCTTAAAGGACCTGGTAAGATATAGTAAGGATATTATCTGGGTTTGTAATGCAAACGTCTGTTAGTCTCAGTCCAACATGTAGATAGTTATTGTATGGATGTATTGTGGATACATTCAGTATATACAATGCAGTTTTTTAAAATATTTTACCAAAAAATAAATGGATTAACTTTTCAAAATGAGATTCTTTCAATGACAGAAATGAGTGTTTCTTTTAAGGCGATGTTGCGCCACGATCAAAGTCAAATTCCTCATTGGCATTTTATTCGTGTATACATTTTTGATGATATTGATACCCGTATTGGTCACATATTTCTTAGCAAAGAAAACAGTCAAGAATTCTTGCTAGTGTTTAAAGCGTTCGTCCGTTTCTCTTTCAATATGAAGACCATTTTAATAAAATAGCAGGAATGGTGACACCAAGTAGAATAATACACTCTTACTAGTAATCATCTATGGACCAACGTGCTAACACAATCCTACACAATGGTTGGTCATGTCATACCGCATTGACTGTTCACAGGACCATTCACCCTGTTTGTCCCCGACGAGAGATCCATACGTAATTTGGATGCAACTGACACGGCAAAACTGACCACCTTTCTCAAATACCACGTGGTTAATGGTCAATACCGACTAGCTGATCTGTACAATGAGGAGAGTCTCACTTCCCTCGAGCCCAACCAAATGATCAGGGTCAACTACTATAACGATGCAGGGGTAAGTGCACATTTTACATCCAACAGAATTATATAAGTTGGGGACTGACCGAGTAATATTCATATCCCTGTATGTTAATGTGTAAATTCATGTGTACCTTCATGTGTACGTTCATGTCTACATTCATGTGTATCTTTATGTGTACGTTCATGTCTACATTCATGTGTATCTTTATGTGTACGTTCATGTCTACATTCATGTGTATCTTCATGTGTACGTTCATGTCTACGTTCATGTCTACATTCATGTCTACATTCATGTCTACATTCATGTGTATCTTCATGTGTACGTTCATGTCTACATTCATGTGTATCTTCATGTGTACATTTATGTCTACATTCATGTGTTCGTTCATGTCTACATTCATGTGTATCTTCATGTGTACGTTCATGTGTACATTCATATGTATCTTCATGTGTACGTTCATGTCTACATTCATGTGTATCTTCATGTGTACGTTCATGTGTACATTCATGTGTATCTTCATGTGTACATTAATGTCTACATTCATGTGTACGTTCATGTCTACATTCATGTGTATCTTCATGTGTACGTTCATGTCTACATTCATGTGTATCTTCATGTGTACGTTCATGTGTACATTTTATGTGTATCTTCATGTGTACGTTCATGTCTACATTCATGTCTACATTCATGTCTACATTCATGTCTACATTCATGTGTATCTTCATGTGTACGTTCATGTCTACATTCATGTCTACATTCATGTCTACATTCATGTGTATCTTCATGTGTACGTTCATGTCTACATTCATGTGTATCTTCATGTGTACATTCATGTCAACATTCATGTGTTCGTTCATGTCTACATTCATGTGTATCTTCATGTGTACGTTCATGTGTACATTCATGTGTATCTTCATGTGTACGTTCATGTCTACATTCATGTGTATCTTCATGTGTACGTTCATGTGTACATTCATGTGTATCTTCATGTGTACATTAATGTCTACATTCATGTGTACGTTCATGTCTACATTCATGTGTATCTTCATGTGTACGTTCATGTCTACATTCATGTGTATCTTCATGTGTACGTTCATGTGTACATTCATGTGTATCTTCATGTCTACATTCATGTGTATCTTCATGTGTATCTTCATGTGTATCTTCATGTCTACATTCATGTGTATCTTTATGTGTACGTTCATGTCTACATTCATGTCTACATTCATGTCTACATTCATGTGTATCTTCATGTGTACGTTCATGTCTACATTCATGTCTACATTCATGTCTACATTCATGTGTATCTTCATGTGTACGTTCATGTCTACATTCATGTGTATCTTCATGTGTACGTTCATGTCTACATTCATGTCTACATTCATGTGTACATTCATGTGTATCTTCATGTGTACGTTCATGTCTACATTCATGTGTATCTTCATGTGTACGTTCATGTCTACATTCATGTCTACGTTCATGTCTACATTCATGTGTATCTTCATGTGTACGTTCATGTCTACATTCATGTCTACATTCATGTCTACATTCATGTGTATCTTCATGTGTACGTTCATGTCTACATTCATGTGTATCTTCATGTGTACATTCATGTCTACATTCATGTGTTCGTTCATGTCTACATTCATGTGTATCTTCATGTGTACGTTCATGTGTACATTCATGTGTATCTTCATGTGTACGTTCATGTCTACATTCATGTGTATCTTCATGTGTACGTTCATGTGTACATTCATGTGTATCTTCATGTGTACATTAATGTCTACATTCATGTGTACGTTCATGTCTACATTCATGTGTATCTTCATGTGTACGTTCATGTGTACATTCATGTGTATCTTCATGTGTACATTAATGTCTACATTCATGTGTACGTTCATGTCTACATTCATGTGTATCTTCATGTGTACGTTCATGTGTACATTCATGTGTATCTTCATGTGTACATTCATGTCTACATTCATGTCTACATTCATGTCAACATTCATGTGTATCTTCATGTGTACGTTCATGTCTACATTCATGTGTATCTTCATGTGTACGTTCATGTCTACATTCATGTGTACGTTTATGTCTACATTCATGTGTATCTTCATGTGTACGTTCATGTCTACATTCATGTGTATCTTCATGTCTACATTCATGTGTATCTTCATGTGTATCTTCATGTCTACATTCATGTGTACGTTTATGTCTACATTCATGTGTATCTTCATGTGTACGTTCATGTGTATCTTCATGTGTACGTTCATGTCTACATTCATGTGTACGTTCATGTGTACGTTCATGTCGTCATTCATGTTTACATTCATGTGTATCTTCATGTCTACATTTATGTCTACCTGTATGTGTATGTTCATGTGTACGTTCATGTCTACATTCATGTGTATCTTCATGTGTACCTTCATATCCACATTCATGTCGACATTCATGTGTATGTTCATGTCTACATTTATGTCTACCTTTATGTGTATGTTCATGTGAATGTGCCTATGTAATTACTTGTGTTACTTCATGATTGTGAATATCCATGTATATGTTCATGTGTACATTCATGCGCACATAGATATGTATATTTATGTATATATCCCTGTGTGTATTCCTATGTATATTCTAATGTCTCTTTCTGTGTCTATTGAAGCGTAGAAAGAAATGTTATTGTTGCTATAAACATATCATGGCGCTTCACACCGATGACTTTACGCCAACTACAAAATCACTGGCACTTGCTTACCGTTTCCGCGAACAACCGGTGTCATCACCGATTTTCAGTGATCCAGGCATTGAGTTTTCATCACTATGTTTCCTTTTATGCCTTAAGGATTATGTTTAACCAATATTGGAGAGATAATTATCTTGGGTTTACATTTTGAATGTATTTGGTTTACATATATCAATGTCCAAAATGAGATACATGTTCGTTGTCCCGACTCCTCTCTAGGCGTTTGCGTCACCATGGCGTTTAATGACGACATCTGTTTCAGGAATTTACCCTGGAGGGTAAGGCCCTACAATCATCTGATCACGTGTTGAGTAATGGAATTGTTCACTTCATCAGTGGCATGATGATTCCGCCGGCGGGGACCGTGCTGGACGTCGTCCTAAAAGATGGAAATCTTACCACACTCGCCTCAACTATAAAGAGTGCTATGCTAGAGAACTTCTTTCAAGGTGAAGATCTCTTGATCATAATCGCAAAACATTTCTTGTAGAGCACTGAAAAACACTTGTAGGACGTGGTATTTAACTCCGTTTACCAGAATGTCAGTTTTATCGGAGTGTGTTGACTTGTTGTTTTGTGAGAAAAGCCCAAAGAGGCGGAGGTCGAAGATGTATACAATTAAAGTATGGAGTTTATTTGGGGATGTAGATCAGGTTACAGAAACAGCAACGTTCCAATCAATGCACGTCAAGTGTTTCACATGAAGTTGGTGTAACCATAAAATATGTATTCACGAAACTATTTTCAAAAAGGCTAAGATGGTTAGGTTTTCGAAACAAACGATACAGTAAAATACCTTTTCACAATTAAGGCCATCTGCGGACCCGAAATAGCGAGATTTCACTCAAGCTGCAATTTACTCTATGGTTATTGGGTATTGCAGATCAAAAGCCCATCACCCTCTTTGCTCCAACTGACGAAGCATTCAACAAACTTGGAAGTGCAACTGTACAAGGTCTTATCGCCGACCCAGCACTTTTGAAAAGTAAGTTTCAACTTAAAATTTGAGTGAAAGACATGTTAATTTATTACTTATCATTGGGATAACTGTGGCTAATTTTGTTGTTTTAAGTAAGGAAATGTTAGACGAAACCAAAGGTGACATATAGTTCATGCACAAAATACATGTTCTCAGATATTTCGTTGTTATAGTTTGGGCCAGAGAAATAATTTTGCAGAAATATGTCCTTTGTTGCAAGAGCGTTTCAAGAATAGTAAGAAATAACTTATCAACTGAAGAACAAAGTTTGTTGTCTAAAGTATTCGACTAAAGCACTGTGGTCCTTATATATGTAAACTCCTATCCAGCAAATACATGGTTTAAACACAAGTACGAACACAATTCATAAACACATGCATATGTAGTCGGAATCGTACAATCGGCACTGCTTTTAGGAGATATTTCGTATAAATATGGCTTTTATTTAAGAACTATTACACTGTTTTTATAATATAAATACGTATTATGACATTAAAAAGACTACACAATGTATACGAAATGTCTTTAACATACATGTGTGTGCTGTAATTCTCCTGGATTTATGACATTAATCAAGCTGTACATACGTGTATGACACGATGCTGTTTCCAGGTGTACTTCAGTACCACGTGGTCCCGGGGACAATCTACAGGGCAGAGTACCACAGCGCTTACCTGCACACCTTTGAGGAGGCCGACCGGATTCGGCTACATAGATTCCTCTTCTGTGAGTATGTTGACGTATGTAGGGATCACCTCACTTTTGAGGTGTTTGGTAATATAGGGCTACATACTTACTGTTTAATATGTGTTACTGTTTGTAATCATCTCCTTACTTTTGATCTGGCCCACCAAATAGGGCTATATTATTCCTGAATATTTGATTATGGTCTGTAGGGATATCCTTACTCTTGAAGGGTACCGGCCACATAAGGCTACATAGAGACCCTGGTTTATGTCTGCTGCTGTCGGCAGTGATCTCTTCACTTTCGAGGTGTCCGACTAAACAGGCCTTTATAATGTCTGAGTATTTGTTTATTGTTTGTTGATATCTCCTCACTTTAAGGTGTCCAAACACATATGGTTGTATGAATATTGTGAGATTGTCTGTATGGATTTCTTTACGTTTGAGGTGTCTGACCAGTCATTGCTCTATAGGTTTCAGGGTAAAGCATTGTCATGTTCAGAAGTGAGGTGAATTTTGACGTGCTGATTTGATTTTATGAATTCTCGAAATTATGCATGGTCCTCACTATTTTGGTGTCCAACCCGAAACCCGATCACGATATGTAGATATATGTACATATGTTAATGACGGAAACTTTCTCCTCTCTTTCGATGTGACCGTCCACATTAGAAGCATTAGAATTTATTACACGTTTTGGTGATGGTCCGAAAGGCTTACCTCACTTTTGAAGTGTCCGAGCAGAGTATTTCACCAGTATTATGTTGAGGTCAGAAGGATTCCACTCGCTTTTTGTTTTTCGTATTTTTCGACCAGCCACGAGTATTGTGGCATAAGGGTATCTCGCACCTCTGAGGTTGCAAGGATTAAGTGTAAAACTCACAATCATTTGATAAAATGACGACTGTGTGTTTGCTTTGGGAAAATTACCTTTCAGGTATAGTACTGAGATAAAGTATTATCATAAAACAAGAAAAAATGGACTATACGTACTGTATTATAAGTGAGTGATGTCCCTCAAAAAACATGCTCCATTACAGGTCACATATGGTAGATGTATTGTCAAATCATGGTTCATGTTCAACTATATGCGTGCGAATGACCCAATTCTTTCTTTGCCGCTGTAGTTGGGTACGAGGCTGATGATGGCGGTATGGTGGACGATGAGGTGAGTGCCACCAATGGGGTTGTCCAGAAGATTGACGCTGTTCTCATCCCCAGCTCGCTGTCTGACCAGGTCAAGGCTTTGACCGCTGGGGCAACGACAGCAGCATGAAGACATTACCTTGTAATCCCTTGTAATTGTGATTGATTAAATCAAATATCATATATCTCGGAACATAGTCATTTTTTAAAGCATTCTTTCCAATTCAATAAATGGCATGATAATGCACCATCTAGGTATTCTGATCAGAGCGCATGGATGACCATGTGGTCTATGTCACCACAGCTCATTGTGCAGACCGTTTGCCGTTCACGGTCAATTGGTCGCACAGGAACGTAGGAACGTTTCTCAGAGTTGGGGGTGGCGGAAACATATATTTCTGTAGCTCAGTGTGTGTGTGTGAGTGTGCACACGTGTGTGTGTATGCGTTTGCGTGCGGGCATGCATGTGTGTGTGCATGCTCTTGTTCCATTGTCCCGTGTCATTAATGCCACTCAGTCAGAATCATCACGAGAGACAAAACTAAAAAACCCTTTTGATTTATTCTTAACATATCTACAACAAAATTATACTAATTCTAAATTTGGTTTTGCAGCAAATACTCAGCCTATATATATGTATGTAAATCTTGGCTAGTGGGTGGTAGGGTTGAGCAAAATATTCCTTGTGAAAATATCGTTTCGAAGATGCGGGGGGCCTGACAGGCCTGTTGCATGCTCTTATCCCAAACAATAACGTTATTATCTGCTGTGTCGCGTCCGGAGGTGTCGGGCAGTCGGGTAGCCTTGTGGTAAAAGCGTTCGCTCGTCACATCGAAGACCCGGGTACGATTTCCGACATGGGTACAATGTGTGAAGCCCATTTGTGGTGTCCCCCGCCGTGATATTGCCGGAATATTGCTAAAAGCGGCGTAAAACATCACTCACTCACTCCGGAGTTGCCGCCTGAAACCTGACAACAGCGTGTGAGCGGATGATTGTTTATATTTTATACCAACACCTTAGGTCTGTTTCAGTTACTAAAGTCGTTAGTACAGAGTGAGTTGGGTTTTACTCTACATTGAGTTCACTTACATATTGGCGTGATTTGGTTAAAACTTGGGTCATGCTGCAGACCCACTTCCTTGAAACTCATGAACACGGACATGGTGCTGACAAACCAAGGTTCATAATCGGGTCGAATCCCATGTTCGCAACCATGACAAGCGGATCTTGAAAAAGTTGAATACAAAACGGAATATACAGCATACGTCCCTTTTATGGTGTAGAGTAGATGGACAGTTTCATCTGCGCCAGGCTGAAGGTTACATGGGCGACCTAGCTGGTTGTGTTTCAACGCACTCCGACAGCGGGGATAGTTGACACAATTATTTTCTTGATGATTTTCCGCCCTTCGTGCCTTAACTGCGACGGATATCACCAATCACATACGTATTCACTCTTTATTTAAGTTTCTGGTGAGTGAATGAGTGAGTGAGTGAGTGAGTAAGTGAGTCTGTTTTTTTCAGACATATCAAGGTGTGTCACTTTGTGATGTGGAAGGTGATCCCGATGTGAAGAAGGTCTAACACTCTAACCATTTGGTTAAACCACCGAGCACGGATACGGTTCTGACAAAAGTAAAAACATGCTCATGGCGCCCAAGGATTCGAACCCAGGACCATAGGTTTATCACACGCCTGAAGGGAGCAACTCAGCACAGCGAATTACGGCGCCTTAGGCTGCAGTTTACAAGCATGCATGAGCACACATGATGTTGCATCCATCTTCAAACGCAATGAAATATTTAGGTACGTTGTCACACAGTCTGTTCATTTCTGTACAAAAAGACGAATGTTATACTACTAAATACTCCTGAATATGTTCGACGTGCACGTATTCTGTCTACAGCGCTAATAATTGTCTGTTGGTAATTGAGGTGCAAAGGGCGTTTTTACAAGAAACAAGAAAGTGAGTATGGTTTTACGCCGCTTTTAGCAATATTCCAGCAACATCACAGCAGGGGACACCAGAAATGGGCTTCACACATTGTACCCATGTCGGGAATCGAACCCGGGGTTTCGGCGTGATGAGCGAACGCTTAAACCACTAGGCTACCCGACCGCCCCTCTGAAAAATGAACAAAACAGAAATAAAACCAAAAAAACAAAACCAAAACAAAACAAACAAACCAACAACAACAAAAACAAGAAAAACTTTAATGTACACAGGGAGCATGAATTAAAGAAAAGATGACAAGGAAGGAGTCTGTTAGAATGAAAGCATGCTGGAAAATCTTTGATCATGACATCATCAAGCCCATTGTGAATTAAGCCGCTTTGAACATTACTTCATGTGTTTGTGACGGGTGCCACCGGTGGGGCAGGATACGCTCACCGTTTCGCGAACACCTTGGGCCATAACAATGGACTTTAGTAGAGACTTCTTATATATGTGGAAATGTTTTTTGCCGCGCCCATTTATATCACGGATTATCAGACCCAAGTGATGCAGGCCTGAGACGTTTTTACTTTGGTGAAACACATGAACACATGTCCAATCCAATGACCATAATCAAGGCGTATCAGGGATTCGAACCCACGATCATAGGATCATGACGTGCCCAAGGAAGGCAACTCTGTACAGCCAATTCGGACGCATTAGATAACTAATGACCTCAATGAAGGTTGGTTCACAGTAAATATCAGCAGCTTCACTGTATTGAGGGGCGTGCCCCTTCGTCGTGGTGTGAGAGGTTGCGAGCTGTTACCATTTGACCCACTGTCCCTGTGTTTATTGCTTTGTTACAACTACATCGTTTGTCCGATTACTTAAATTTAAACTATTATGAAGACGTTATGCTATTGTACTTGATTCTTAGGACGTAGAATTTATTACACGTTTTGGTGATGGTCCGAAAGGCTTACCTCACTTTTGAAGTGTCCGAGCAGAGTATTTCACCAGTATTATGTTGAGGTCAGAAGGATTCCCCTCGCTTTTTTGTTTTCCGTATTTTTAGACCAGCCACGAGTATTGTGGCATAAGGGTATCTGGCACCTCTGAGGTTGCAAGGATTAGGTGTAAAACTCACAATCATTTGACCAAATGACGACTGTGTGTTTACGTTGGGAAAATTACCTTTCAGGTATAGTATTGAGGTAAAGTATTATCATAAAACAAGAAAAAATGGACTATACTACGGTAGCCCATAAGCGTTTCAATATCTTCTTTACACATGATTTATCACATATTTGTAAGACAAATCGTGTTAATTTGAAAAAGGTTACGATAAAAGTAAGTGAAATATCAAAATATTGAAAAACAGACTCCATGTCCCTTATGGGTCACCGTATTATACGTATTGTATTATAAGTGAGTGGTGTCCCTCAAATAACACGCTCCATTATAGGTCACATATGGTAGATGTATTGTCAAATCATAGTTCATGTACAACTATATGCGTACGAATGAACCAAGTCTTTCTTTGCCCCTGTAGTTGGGTACGAGGCCGACGATGGCGGTATGGTGGACGATGAGGTGAGTGCCACCAATGGGGTTGTCCAGAAGATTGACGCTGTTCTCATCCCCAGCTCGCTGTCTGACCAGGTCAAGGCTTTGACCGCTGGGGCAACGACAGCAGCATGAAGACATTGTAATTGAGATTGATTAAATCAAACATCATATATTTCGGAGCATAGTCCTTTTTCAAAGCACTCTTGTCTCATTATCCCATGTCATCAATGGCACTGATTGAGAATGGCCACAAAAGACAATTCAAAGACAAAACAAAAAAGCATAAGAATAAATAATAAAATATGTAACTATATAGAATTATATTGCTTTTAAATTCGGGCCTGCTCAAATCCTAAACAATAAACCTCATGCACACGGATATGGCAAACCAAGGTTCACAATCGGGTCGAATCCCATGTTCAAACCCATGACAAGCAGATCCTGAAAAAGTTACCATACAAAACGCTTAACAGCGAAATTTGCATGATTCGCCAGGTTTTGATGTAAGGGGAAGCCCGATTTGATGCATGTCTGAAACGCTTACCATTTGGTTAAACCAACGAGTTCAGGTATGGTCCTGGAAAAGTAGAAACATTATCGTGGCGCCTGAGCATTCGAACCCATCAAAGGTGAATGAAACGCCTAAGGAAAGCAGCTCTGCACAGTAAATTGCGGCGCTTCAGAATACTGGGCCGACTGGGCGTCTGGTGCAGCAATATATATGCATACGCGATACTGCATTTCTCTGCAAACGCAATGAATCAATAAGGTACGCTGTCACACAGTATGTTCATTACTGTACAAAAAGACGACCGTGACATGAACAGAATACAAAAACCTACTAAGTACTCATCAATATGTTTGATGTGCACATATCCTGACAACAGCGCTGATAGTTTATTTTCTCATTTCTCTGTTGGTAGTAGTGGTGCTGGTGAAGCTTAAGGGCGTATTTACAAGAAACAAGAGACAAGGAACTTAACGTCGGATAATGTAGTGCAATGCACAATAGCTGTAAATCTATTTTATCGACAAAACAGTTTGAAAAATGTAAAGAAAACCTAGAAATAAACACAAGAAGAAGAATGTAGGAATAAAGTAATTGAAGGTGACGAGGAAGGGACCTGAAATGGATAGAAGATAAAAATATCTTCGGCCGTGCCATCGGCTCACCGAGCAAGTGCATATGGTACCGGTGTCCCGGTATAAACTCTCCCCCGTACAAATTCTCCCCCCGGAGATTTTATACCGGTACAGATTCTCCCCCGGAGAATCTGTTCTGAAATAAAATCTCCCCCGGGCGGATATGTTTCGCGCCCCCCTCAGTATAAAGTCTCCCCCCTGATTATTCGGTTTGTTGCAATGTCTTTAAGTACTCTATTCTTTAAATAGTTATCTTTAATGTAAGGAGGGTTACTTTAAAAAATAGATTATGAAATATGGTCATTATGAGTTGATATTTCAGCATATTTTATTTGGTAACTGTACCTTCCATCCTAAAATAATTATAAGACATATATCATAACAAACAAATTTGAATGAAATGACTTAATGTAACAAATACGTGTACGGTTACTGTTGTAACTGAATTCAGAAATCTTATTAATCCTCGCAAACATCCTCGCCTCCAGCTCAGGCTGTCCGTTATACTCTGATTTTAGATCTAAAATATA